AGAAGTTAACTGGTTCCGCATCTTCGAGTTCTGAAAAGATTCCTGGCGCGGGCGCAGACGCTTCAGCATCTCTTCCTCCTTCACAATCATCTGCACCAAAAGATAATGCTTCATCGGCTCAACCAGTTGCTAAATCAGCTATCGATATTAAACCTACGAGCGTCACTCCTACACCAGCTGCTAATCCTTTCGCGAAATTGGGCGCGCAAGCAAGCTCTACTGAGAAACCATTGTCTGTAAGAACTGATCCTTCTCAAAACGTTCTAGGCAAACGATCCAGAACTGAATCAGACATGCAGACACCTCCTCGCCCAGCTCCAACCACCCGCAAACCTAATCTCGCCGAAGAGTCTTTAGAGGACTACGAAAATCGAATTCTTGCTCATATCTTTCGAATTACTCTAGATCCCAACCAGCTAACCGATTCCTCGAATCATAAACTGATATTCCTGCCCGAATTGAGAAAAGAGCTCGAGGAGGAACATGCGGAGATTAGGTTGTCGGCTGATAAGCTTGATGGTGCTCTTATGGAAGCGTGCTCTACCATTCCACATAGTAAACCCGTGTTCGACTACCTCTTGCCATGTTGGAAACGAATTATAAAAGCTTCAAAGGGGCTGCGGGGTTATGCGGGGCAGAAGGATGCGATTCTTAAGGAAGCTAAACGCTTGTGCATGAGCAATTGCATCTTTGCTGCCGAAATGCCGGACATTTTCCAGTTTGTTTCTTGGGACCGAGGAAGTCTACATCTAGCTAACATTTCCCAGACGAGAGATCAATCTAACTACAGATGTCCTCACCCCTTACTTCTTGTTGGAGCCTGGTGAGGATAAAGGCATCTGCCCCGACTTTCTCGAAGAAGCTGTAGCTCGCTTTGCGGAGGATGATATGGCCAAATCTATGATTATCAAAGCATTTGTAGGCATGAGTAGTAAACTCTCTAATATGACTATGAATGATGTTTACAAGCCATACGTTCATGTAAGAAACGTAGATTGGAGAGATCAACGACTGGAACTAATGTCATTTGTAGGCTTTCAAATTGCTTACGCAGTTCAACCCAATCACTACAGCTATTGCCGAATCTCCACTATTCCAAATGGCCGTTTCAGCAAATACCATCGAAAAGTACACACTACTTGGCCCTTTCTTCAGAATATCTCCTTTGCAACAAGAAGTTACTAGGGAATACTTCAGTGCGCCAAAGACGATAGATAGGCGACATATTGCCACATCTCAAGATGCGTTACGATTGACCTTACAAACCCATCAAAAAGATTTACTTGATATCATCAACCACTTTGTTCGAGCAAGTCCAATAGCCAAAAGCAAAACCTTGGATTGGTTTGCCTACATCGTAAATCAAAATCACAAGCGTCGAGCACTTCAGGTAGACCCAAAAGAAGTATCTTCTGATGGCTTTATGCATAATGTTACTGTCGTTTTAGATGGTCTTTGTGAGCCATTTATGGATACCACATTCTCGAAGATTTCAAAGATCGACATCGATTATCTACGACGTGCTCCTCGTGTTGATATTAAGGACGAGACCAAGTTGAACGCTGATGAGAAGGCTTCCGAAAAGTACTATGAGGCCACTGTTGATGGCACTTCTAATTTCATCTCCGAGATCTTCTTTCTGACGCTGGCTGCTCATCACTATGGTAGTGAAGCTCTTAATGCCACACATAAGAGTCTGGAGAAAGACATCAAATATATTCAAAAGCAATTGACTGCTATTGAAGCAGAACGTGTCAAAGTGGCACGGGTGAGTCAAGCACCCAGCCTCGAAACATCCCCACGTTTGTCACTAATCAAATTCAGGATCCTCGGGCTGCTGTTTTAATTGATCAGAAAATCAAAAGAATCAATGAGGTCCTAGAAAATGCAATGTCGAAGAGAATGGCCATTGAAGGTGTTCTGTCTGACAAACCTATGCAAGCAAAATCTTTGATCTTCATGAGATACGTTACTGTCTGGCTTCTGAGAATCGCTACGGAGTCTAATTATACTCCTAGTCAAACTATTAAGTATAATTATACATCTTTGAGACATTCCCATTACAGTTAACTGACAAAAATTAGATTGCCTTTACCATCAACGCCTCCTGCCGCTTTTGATTATCTTCCAGAATACGTTTTAGAGGATATCATTACCAATTTTAACTTTATCATTAGGTTAGTTCCTCTATTCTTCAACTCTTTAGGAAAAGGCTAAATTTTTGTAGATTCATCCCTGATGTTATGATTTCAGCTGTTGGCGATGAGATCATTGCACTCAGCATCACTTTCTTGACAAATTCCGAGTATATCAAGAACCCTTACCTGAAGGCAAAACTCGTATCTCTACTTTTTGCTGGTACCTGGCCAGTGTATCATCGCACCAAAGGTGTTTTGGGTGATATTTTGATGGGATCAAAATTCGCTAATGATCACTTACTTCACGCATTATTGAAGTTCTATATTGGTAAGTTTAAAATTCAAATGATGATCTTCAATAGTACTAATTGTTTTCAGAATGTGAATCTACTGGAGCACACACTCAATTTTACGACAAATTCAATATTCGATACGAAATCTTTCAAGTCATCAAATGCGTATGGCCGAATGATATCTACAGACAGCGCTTGTCGCAAGAGAGCAAGTATGTATAGCATGATAATCTTAAGATTTGCAAAGGTACTAATATAACTTAGAACCAATACGGACTTTTTCTTGCGATTCGTTAACCTTTTACTGAATGATGCCACTTTTGTTCTCGATGAGGCTCTTACAAAGTTTCCAAAGATCCATGACCTCCAAGTTGAACTCAGAAAGGAGGCTGAACAATCATCAATGACTGCCGAGGAACGAGAGCAGAAAGAAACTGCATTACGTGAAGCGGAAGGTCAAGCGCAATCCTACATGCAATTGACCAATGAGACCCTTGCTATGATGAAGTTATTCTCTTCTACCTTGAGTGCCTCCTTCACTATGAAGGAGATTGTTAATCGTGTAGCAGCAATGCTGAACTACACACTTGATACGATCACTGGAAGTAAATCAACCAACTTGAAGGTTGAGAACCTGGAAAAGTACCAATTCAGACCAAGGGCCTTCCTTAGCGATTTCGTGGAAATTTACATCAATCTCGGGGTTCATGAACCATTCGTGGAAGCTGTGGCTAGAGATGGTCGCTCATATAAACCCGAGAATTTCGATAGCGCTTCTCGAATTTTGACACGTTACGGACTTAAATCAGCGGAAGATCTCAATGCTTGGGAACGTCTCAAGACCCGATTCAAGATTGCCAAAGAGATTGAGGATCAAGATGAACAAGATTTGGGTGAAATACCAGATGAATTCTTGGATCCTATCTCCGCAGATCTCATGGAAGATCCAGTTATGTTACCTACCAGCAAAGGGATTGTAGATAGGGGCACTATCAGTGCTTTTCTATTGGGTGATCAAAGAGATCCATATAATCGTGATCCGTTGAGGATTGAGGATGTAATTCCAGTTCCAGAATTGGCGGAAAAGATTAGGCTCTGGAAAGAGGAGATCAAGGAAAGGAAAAGAGCTGAGCGAGCTACTGTTGCTGCGGCTGCGGCGGATGCAGCTTCAAAAGATCCGATGGATCTTTCAGCATAGTGCCACTGCATAATTGTTAACATGATGTGAAGCGATGGGAAAAGGAGAATTGCAATACACAATGGGCATGAATTGGTGTTATCTCTTCTATTGTAATTCTGCCTGTTTGGAAAGGCGTATTGAGTTTGGGAAAGGAACTTGGAGAGGAAAATCCATATGAAGAATGAAGGAAAGATTAAGGAATGAATAAATGATTGCATTGTTAACCGATCAATATGGTTACGAGCGCGAAGAAATGGTTGAATTAGGGATGTTTCTAAAGCGGAGTTTTGCACTCATGATTGTATAGAGGAAGACTCTGACTACCTAGTTCGTATAGAATGTGCATCAGCGAATTAACATATGATTTATGTAGAAATGTACTTTTCGAGATCTGTGATTCGTGATCTGTGATCTGTGATGTATAGATATGAGGTGGTGGTGGCATGGGTTGAGTTGGGGTATCATTGGTTTTGTGTAAAGTTTGTCTAATTCGTGGGCTAGAGGTGTAATGGAGTGAGTGTGTATGAGGAGTGTGTATGAGGAGTGTATATGAGGAGTGTGTAGGAGGAGTGTGTAGTAGGTAAGAAAGAAATTTCGGGGTTTTGTTATATATTGTTGTAATATCTCGTGGCTGGAATAGAGGTGAGTGGCAGGTGAGTGGGAGGCGAAATGTGAAATGTGAAATGTGAGTTTGAAGGGATATAGAGAAACCCCATTTAGAGATTTCCTTATTCCTTTAAAGATTCAGATAGATTACAACCTATTGTAAATTTCTATATAGATAGAGCCTGATGTAAACATAATTCATAATCTTACTCGTGGGAAATATTAATAACGAAGAGTTAGTTTATTTTGGGTTTCGAAGAGGATATGATATGATATGAAATAAAGAATAGAATAAATATCAATATATAAAAAATATAAAATTAGAAGAAAAAGAAAATAAGATAAATTAAATTAAATAAATGTAAAATCATTTTGTAATCGATTTATATATAGTTAATTTGATTGTACTCGGGGTTTCAGTTTATATTATAGATATAATTTTTTTTAATGTATGGATTTTCTAATGTGTACATTTTCTAATGTGTACATTTTCTAATGTGTACATTTTCTAATGTGTACATTTTCTAATGTGTACATTTTCTAATGTGTACATTTTCTAATGTGTACATTTTCTAATGTGTAGATTTTCTAATGTGTAGAGTTCATAGTAGGTTGTTGTATATGTGAGAGTCGTTTTGTTTGTTGGAAAAGCGATGATTAGGTTAAGGTTAAGAGGAGGAACCCCTTTTTACCTCGCGTATTTTTGGGGTGTGGGGGGTGTGGGTGTGTGGGGTGGGATTTCTGGGTTGTTTTGTGCTTTTTAAGGTTAGTGATGTTGTGAGGATGGGTGGAGAGATGGGTGGAGAGATGGATGGAGAGATGGGTGGAGAGATGGGTGGAGAGATGGGTGGAGAGATGGGTGGAGAGATGGATGGAGAGATGGGTGGAGAGATGGATGGAGAGATGGGTGGAGAGATGGATGGAGAGATGGGTGGAGAGGTGGGTGGAGAGATGGGTGGAGAGATGGATGGAGAGATGGATGGAGAGATGGGTGGAGAGATGAATGAAGAGAGTATATATTAATGAAAGGTGATTCGATATATTTGAGTTTAATTGGTCGAAAAAAAGTAATTAGTTCGAATTGCTCAGATCAGATCAAATTTATTAAAAGAGAGAACAACTTTGTTAAAATGGATTTTTGTTTGGGGGAAATAATTATTTATTTATTAATTGTGTGTCTATGTGTCTATCTATTTATGTGTCTATCTATTCATGTGTCTATATGTCTGACTGACTATCTAAATATGTATCCCGAAGTTGTGAAATCCAATGCTTGTGTATAAATGAGTGTTGGTGTTGGTGTGAAGAGGTTTGGTGGTAAAGAATGTTTGAAATAGAGGAGGAGAGAGGGGGGGGGGAGAGAGAGAGGAAGGAAAACAAATCCAACGATATGTATGTACTGTCTAAACTGCTTGATTTATTCAAAACAGAGAAAGGAAAAGAAAGGAAAAGAAAAGAAACCCAACGATATGATATGTATGTACTGTTTAAACTGCTTGATTTATTCAAAACAGAGAAAGGAAAAGAAAAGAAAAGAAATCCAACGATATGTACTGTCTAAACTGCTTGATTAATCCAAAACAGGGAGAGAAAAGAAAAGATAAAAGAAAAGACAAAAAGTCCAATGCAAACGAGTAGTCTAACCGAGGGTATCCAAAATTGAATCGAGAGGATTGGGGGTGCGGGGGTGCGGATTCTTCTACCATGTTGTCTGAGAGACAGTTGGATGCTGTAGAAGAGAGAAGGAAGAAGAGAGGAACCTAATGCTGAGGTGCAGTATTGGGCGGATTCACCAGAGCAGCCACAGCCAACGCAAGGATTTGGTCGTTAATCTCTAGGCGTCGATTGTCAAGTGCCAGAATCCTTCGGTTCAAATCTACGTTTCTCGAGTCATTTTCAACCATGCCGGCGTCGAGGTTATGATTTAGTTCTCTTTCGATACGATAGCAGAGATTTATGGCGGCGGTTTTTTCCCTTAAGCATTCGGCGTTGGTCATTTGGGAAATGGGGATCTGGCAAGTTATATCGAGGGCTGGGTCAGAGGTGTTGTCGAAACTGGGCATTTTGGCGGATGGTTTGGGGATCTCGGTGGATGATTGAGAATGAGGTTTGGATAGGAATGGTATTTTCGAAGTTGTTTTTGCTGATTATTCGGGATAGACTTGTGTGCTGAGATGTTCAAAGAGGAGATTGAAGCAATTGTCAAGGTGAAGTTTGAAGTGAGAAGTTTTGTTTGGTTTTGATTCTGTTTGGAATTGTAGATCTAGATGTTTGATGTTGATGCTTCAAAAGAAAGGTCTCTCCAAAGGGGGTAACTGAAACTATTTATGCCTTTTTAGACACAGCTATCCCCCTCGATCCCCCCCTCAATGACTATCATATGTACCACAAATTTTGGAGTCATTGTATTGTAGAAGGATGACTGAAAACATATCTCGTTGAAAAGATAGGTTTCCATGTGGTAGATGTAGGATTCTGACGAATCTCAAGGGTGCCATGTGGTAAAAGGGGTAGCTCGCGTGGAGAAATCGTGGGAAACTCGTGGGTGTGGGGTATTTGGGGGATAAAGCTATGATTCTTTGGAGGTGACTGGCTTTTGTTAAAGCTATTTTAGGAAGTAGGTATTGGATCACTGGGTCACATACATAGATGGAGTCATAAGTATGAATATTGATAATGTGATGTTTGTGTTTTGATTTTGTTTCCTCAAGAATTATGACATCGTGGGAATTCATAAGAATCCATCTAGCAAGGCAGTATCTTGAATTGTGAATGTATTATGCCGAGAAGTTGATTCACCGTCTGAGAGCCTGTTTGATATTATGAATGTTCTCTTATGCCAACTATTCCCATTTACAATACTATGGAAACGTCCATTCAGAATGCAACTGCAAGAATCAAAATGATATTCAACCCTCTATAAACATGTCCCTTACACCCTCTATCTCTAACCCCCAAGTCTTAATGCAATATAAGTCTATAACCAGATATACACAATCCAATCAACAAACAAACCAAAGTACTTCCACCAAAACAACACAAAATGATCCCGTTCTCCCATCCCACAACCACCCACATCCCATCCACCTCTCTCCCCCGCACAATCCAACCCTTCCCCATCTTCCACCGCTCCTGCGACTCCAACATCTACAGCAGCAAACAGCTCCGCACCCTCTGGACCAGCGCTCAACAAAACCAAAACATGAACGAAATGAACCGCATGGGGGTGTTGATCCAACATCATCATACCATCTTGAACCAATACCGGGATCGGATTCTAGAATATACGGTGCGGGAACACGGTGTAGATGAGGGCATGAGAAACGAGTTGAGACGGAATTTGTGGGAGGAGTATGAGAGGATGGGGGTGACGATGTTGGAGGTTGAGAGATTTTTGAGACGCTGTGGAAGGTTTGGTAGGGTTTAGTTTTGGGGCTAGGGATTGGGAGTTGAGGGTATGGAGTGGAGAATTGGAAGGTCGGTTTTGGAGAGATAGAGATCCATAGAATCAGTGAAATTGATGAGCAGTGAGACTCACTTGTTGTATCCAGTATCTCCACTCGCATAGAAATAACATCAAGATATCAATATTGCCCGCTCCATTTTTATACTTGTGATCATTGCAATATCATATGCTAAGATCATGGGCTCAAGCTTAATGAGTCTAGCACTAGAGATAGGGGTTTGGAGTATATCAAGACAGCAAGATGTCCACTTTAAAGGTCTTAGCCCTCAAGAAGCACCATGAAGAAACTACCCGTTCAGCGCTTTAAGCGAGCGAATCAAATTCTCACGCCGTCACTACAACCTTAAACTCAAAAGCAGCAAAGTCAATCCTACCCGAGGAATTAAGCAACTCCTCCTTCTTCGTAATATTCTATATAAAACTCAATACTACACCGTGTTTTGGAGACTGTGTGAAGATAAAAACATTATAACGCATTCTCTGCAAGAAAATCCGCGGTTGCGAGCTCACTCGAGGTTTCTGCGAAGGATCAGCGTTGTAGGCTAGGTGATCTCTATGCGTTGAGATCCTATAGCAAATATACTCTATGCGCAGTATAAATCTCTATCTCCTCTTTGGCATTATATCCGGCGCTTTGAATATACGATGTTGGAATTATTCAAAAACAAAGAGGATGGAATACTCTAACCCGAGTAATCTACCCACCAATCGATCACTGGGCTTTTACTCACTCGAGAAATAAATACACAACAAGCATGTAGTGAATGAGATATCTCGGAGTGCATACAATCCACGAGTAAAAACCTCTCGTGACAACTGTTCGGTGTATCGAGCTATCAAGAACAATCATAAGCGATGCTCACAAAACCAAGGCAGCCACAATATATGTATTAAAAGTTTTCTGAACTAATTGCATCATCATTGAAAGTTTAAAGAGTCAAGGTAAATGAAAATAAGGAGACCCTTCTTCTCTTTTCCATCGACGTGATGTGTCCATCACTTATTCACTGTAATGGTCCGAGGCTATTTATATCATGAGGTGTTACAACGAAGGAGTCATGTTGGAGATATTCGAGTCACCTCAAGAGCTTCCAGGTTATTTTTTCAATCATATTTCACAAACTCGTAACGGTTACATTTGAAGAAGCCCGCATTATCAATAAAATATTGAACACCACAACCTCAGTTCGTCGAATTTCATGTCATGTGGATAAACCCTCTGTGTAAAGTACTTTGACACCCTTATAAAAAGAAGGTCGATACGGTGAAAATATCATCAAGAAATCACACATACATCAAACAAGTAGAAGTTGTGCAATAATGACCTCTATGAACTTGAAGAAGTATGTTAAATCTAAAAATCACACTTGCTATTGATCTTCCTCCGCCGCGATTATTATACTCAAACCACTAAACACCCACAAAAACAAAAATAGACCAAGCCAACGGATACCCAAACCCACTCTAAAGAAAATCCCCTCGAAAATCCAGACTAGTCCTATAAAAAAAATCCACCCCGCAAACTTACACTGATAATCCCCAAAACATCACATGCATCCATCCATCCATCCCTCCCAACCCAATCTCCCTCCTAATCATCACCATCACTCTACCTTGACTGTCCCTTTAACTGTTTTATCTTTTCCTCCACCCTATCTAACTCCCGATTCAATTTATCTTCCCGGTCATCCATCACCTTCTTCGCAAACGCCACTGCCCTGCTTGTCACTCTCTTCCTACTCTCTTCTTCCCTACCACCTAGTGCCACCTTGGCCTTTTTTTCAAGAGCCTTTTTCGCATTATACCTCATCTCTTCCTCTTGAAACTCCTTTTGGTATCTTGCTTCTTCCTCTGCTTCTCTTTCTTGTTTATCAATAGCCTCGCGCCGGATATCTCGATCTCTTGCCGCTTTATCTCTGCTTGATTTTTTTTCATTTGCTTTCTTTTTTTCTTGAATGCGCTGCTCTTCATTCTTCTCATTTTCTAGTTTCTTCAACCTCTTCGTTTCTTTCATAGCTGCTGTAAATTTATCCTGGATAACTTTTTTCTTCTGTTGCTGTTCAATCCGTTTCTGCTTCCTCTCTTCAGCCTTTTTCTTATTCTTTGCCTCCTTCTCGTCTCTGATTTTTGCCCTCTCGTCTCTGATTCTTTCCTTCTCCGCAGCCTTTTCTCGCATCAAATGTTGTTGCCTTTCGAATTCCCCTCTCCTCTCATTCTCTCTTCTCTCCGCGTCTCTCGCCATATCCTGCATTTCTTCTCCCTCTCGCGCCCTTCGAACATTTGCCTCGACCTCCAATTGTTTCAACTTTTCATCCACTCCATCCACTCTAAGCTTGAGCGAAGGCTCCTTACATGCATCTGAAGAGGCAATCATATCCAATCCTCGCCTGCAAATTGCAGTCCTCAACAGCGTTTCAGGAGGATCAATTACTCCATCATTCCACTCTTGACGTGTGGCTGCTACACCATTTTCCAAATCTTGTATATGTGAACCACTCTCATTAAAATCATTATGCGGCTGATGGTGAGTAGATGTACGCGGGCCAGTAGACCGATGTCCCTCCAAAACTTCGCTGCCGCCGTCGGATGATCTGGAACCATACGAATCATACGAATACGAACCATAATCATACGGTTCGGTATAAATTGATCCAGACCCAGATCTTGACGAATAATATGATCCAGAACTCTGTGAACTAGGCGCGACTGCACGGTAGACCGAGACAGGTCTCCTACCAGCTGCAGATCTTATCGACATGGCTAAATGTTGTAACCCGGTAATATTATTGAATGTAAGGATGTGTTGCTGAATGTAAATGTAAAGATATGTTATTAAATCCGAGACTACCGACCGCAGGACCGAGAATCGAAGTTTCGCGGATTCGGAGTAGAAGTTTTCTCTTCCAAAAACCACAAATAATGGAATAGAGGTGACGAGATGGAATGCGATAGGCCAGGATGCGAAGTAGCCCAAATCGAAGTGAAATGAAGCCCGGGGACGTGAGGCAACGCAACGTGATGGAAAGTCGTAGAGAGTATGAGAGAAAGAATGCAAGAGGTGCGAAGCAGGTCAATCCAATGTTTTCGCAAGTTTGGGTTGTTTCTAAAAATTGTTCCGTATGGTTGTCAACATCAACATTAATATCAAAACGCGAATGTGTAAATGTGTGTACCAAAGTAAAGAAACACACAACGAGAGAAGTACAGGCTCCGCATTGAATATCCATCTCCACCTTCACTCACACCTAAAAACTCATGTAATGATAATGCGTCATAATCATAAATATCAGTGACTTGACCATGAGTTCTAATCATCCTCATCCTTGCTCAACCAGTCACGTCACAAAGGGCGAGCGAGCAGTGAGTGAGTCTTGACAAGATCGATTACTCACGTAGGGTTGAAATTTCGATTTGGATATCAGTTGGAAAAATATGAACTGATACTGTATGACTGAAAAACAAGGCTTTATCGTGAAATAAATCAAACAACATAGGAACATTGTTCAAAAAAAGGATCTCCAGACTTTATACGATGTTTAAAAGGTGTTCAAAACCAACCTCAAATGAAGACTGTTAAGTTATTGAGAAGACAATTAACGTTCAAAAACTTTTTGGACATAATGTGAAATAACAGTGCAACCAGAAAAGACAGTCATTTCAGATTCCTACACTTACGAGAGTAACACTGTTGCGATACGAGTGAATATACGCACGTGAGCGCTAGCTCACTAGCGTACGCACGTATTGCATATAGCTTTCATAGCTCTAGAACTTAGAATAGATTAGACATAACATCAATCAATACAGTATACCTATCATGAAGACGTCATAATCACCACCGAAGTGATACCAACAAACACCTATCTATCCCCTATCCCCCCCCATCCCATCCAACCAGCCACCTCAACACACACTACATCTTCCTCAAATACCCAAGCATCACCACAAAGATCCATTATTTCATCCTTCAATCTTTCCATCATCCATCCATCTACACCACAGCCTCTACAACCTCGCAATCGCGATAGATAGATACCAAAAACCCCAGCGAGGCAGCCAGCGCAACAGCCAGACAGAACCAAGCCCAACACCAAGCTCAAAGCTCAGAACTCAAACCCAAGAGAAATAGAAGAATCTCACTCAAGACGATCAAGAAATGACCTAACAGTTGTAATGAAACAACAAGCCAAAAAAAAACCTCACTCACACATCTACGAGATAACTTGATCTCAAGTGCGATTTCACACTCTTACTTTAGATTGAATAACTGGCCCTCTTCTTCAAGATTATCAGACTGTAATCTTTAGACCACACTGGCCAACCCTCCAGTTCTTTCACATTCATCAACTTTCAATTAGCATCTTCCCGTGGAAGCCAGATATTTTCCACTTAGGATATAACATACTCGCCTCTTGACAAGAATATTGAGAGAAAAAATACATACAAAACATACCTAGGTACCAGAGTACACACTTCACTTGCGAATAAATCATGCAGATTTCATCATAATCAGCATACTCGGAAGAAATCTTATTTATTTTGAAGTCCCTCTATGTAAAATTGACTTATTCGATTCAGTTATTGTCGTACCATAATTGCAGACCCATGCTCCATGTGCTATGCTATGCTATGCCGTACTATGCTGTCCAATTTCTCACAGAAAATGTAAAATCAAGTGCTCCGGATTGATCTCTCCATATTTTAGAAAGACCTGGGTATCATTTTTTAACTAAAAAAGAAGGGTTGTTGCAATGACGACAAAAGCAGTCATCGAAGAAAAGTAGCTATTGACCTGGTTTCCACTCGAAGTTTGAGTGGCAGTAGCAGTCACAGATGATGACGCCGACACGGTTGTTCCAGGAGACTGAGCGCTAGCTGAGGCTGATTCTTCCGGGAGTAAAGGATTTAAGCTTCCTGTTTGAACAGAAGAAACTACGGAGCGTGTGTTAGATAGAGATTCAGAAGCAGAAGTGGTTACTGTGGATCCAGAGCCAGGAACAAGGACGCTGGTCGGATCGACAGTGGAAGTGCTAGTGCTATATACGGGGACTTGTGTAGTAGGGGAAGGAGTAAGAGTAGAGGTAAGCCCACCAGAAGAAGATGTTGATGTTGCCGAGGATGTAACAGCTTTCTTCTGCGCCAAACCTACAATTGTTAGCACATGTTTCAGAAATTGAAGCATAGAATACACTTACCAACACGATCTTGATCAACATCAAACAAGGCATACACGTTCTTGAAGAAAGTATCGCCAATCAACCACGAGTTTGTGTCAACCACAGCCACAGCATAGACATTACTTGTACACACCCCATCCACCGAAGGCCCTACCCAATCTACAGACGAAACATTATATGTAACTCCAGAGAATGTAAAGGAGATAGATGTAGTGGTGGAACAAGGTACTGTCCATGTGTTATTGTCCGTGGTAACAGCATCGGGTACAAGTGCATGGAATGCTATCACATCTGTTGGTTGTCCAAAGATATAAGATGTTCCACTATCGAGGTAGCCCAATCTCCCAGTAGTACTGAGTTGAGTATTGCCAACTCCCACGCTATCAAGAGAAAGTGCCCAATGATTTGGGCCGTTTTTGGCGACACTTGTATAACTTAAATCACCACTGTATCGTGAAGTATCCGGAGCACCGAAGTTAATTTCTCCAGTATTCGTACCATCCGAGGCACGGTTCAAGTCCATTCCAAATACATTGGCCTTGAGAGACTTCGAGCTAACAACGGTCTGTAAGAAATTCGGGACCGGACCAGTTTGTTGGGATAAGCCTAATATTCCGGAGAATGGGAAAGAGTTGAACTGGTCACTGGTTTTATTGGCGATTCCTAGAGTTAAAGGAAGACTCATGCCAGCAAAATTGATCGTGTCGGTAGCATATGTTCCAGTAACATGGCCGGATCCGTACGCAATATCCAAATCCATGTTGACCGCTTTATAAGTCGCAGAGTCTGCTGCACCAAAGGAAGCACGAGTCTTGCATGCACTAGAGGTACAATCGGGACCCATAACCCAACTTGTTCCAGCTCCTGTATCAAGCAACATCAACAGAGGATCATTCTTGCTCCCTAGTTCCACCTGAGCAAAATAAGAAAAATCAGTTCCGGTCTGCAGGATTCCCGCGCTGTTCGTCTGTGAAGGAGTTGCCGCAGTCTGAATCGACAATGACGTATCGTCATATTTCACAAGATTGGATTCACGCTCTTCGACTTTAGTAGCTTTAAGTCCCATTCCAGGGTTATATTTGCGAATAAGTCGATCTGTCAGCTCGCGAATCTGAACATCTCTGGGTTTATTGGCCTTACAATGATGAGTTAGCAAAAGCATATCAAATCGAAATACCTTCAACTTACAGATGGGAGCTTTTGGACAAGCTTGAGAACAGCATTGTTCTCACGAGTTTTCCCGCTCCTCTTGGATGTCTCTGGAAGGGACTTGTATGATTGGTGCCTCCATTCTGGGACAAAAGGGTAAAATGCCGTGGAAAATTGGAAGAGTGCAAATAATGCGAGCAAGACGAAGTGAAAGGACCACATGATTGGTGATAGGATAAAGTATCTCCAAGAAGTGGGGTCTCGAAGTCAGCCAAGGGCCAAGCACACAAGTCGAGCTCTCAAGTGATGAATGTCGAATGTAATGCAGAACTTTGAGGAATTGGGTATTTTGTGAAGTTGAATTTCCAACGAGGTATGTAATCAATTGAAGGTGGTAGATCTGAATGTCTGGAGATCTAGACCGTGAATGTTTGGTGAAGAAAAAGAGAGTGTCCTCGAAGGGGAATTTGAATCAGGTATTGTCTCTTTGGTAAGATCAAATGATTTGAATTGTATCATTCACCGATGGGTGAATTTGAGATGAGCCTGACTGGGAGTACCGGACCCTATGGATTTTGGTTTGATATTAGATATTATGATTGTCGTGTGATAGTAGATGTAAAAGATTAAAAATGCCAAGCTGGTCAAAGACAGTGAAGCCGTCAACTGTGCTTGTTACGATTTGAATATGTACGAGAGTGTAGAAGAAGAGAATGAGACTAAAGTCGTGAATGCCAATTGTGAGATCCGTATGGCAGCTTGAAGATAAGAAAAAAAGATGTCCCCTCCAAAGAAGTTGAATATGATCCAATCTTATGAAATACAAAAAGGAAAGCCCGGAATTATGAAGATATTCGGGATGTGGTGAGATAAGGAAGAGGGAGATGATGTAGATGCAGAGAGAGGTAGGGGAGGGGAGGAGAGAGTTTAAAAAGGAAGTATGAAGTATGGCACGAGTGAAAGTAGGAAAGAAGAGGTTGCATTGCTTGGCCTTGGCTTGCTTGATTCGCTCTTTTGATTTGCTGCTTGATTGCTTGCTCTTGAGTCTTGACTACTCCAGGTACCAGTAGGGATCTAGGAAATCTAGAAATCTGCTAGGAACTGCTGCGAGACTGCATATTTTAGAATCCAAAGGTGGCATCCAAAATCAATCAATGTGGAGGGAGCTTTTGTTGCTCTTGCTACTTTTGCTCTTGCAAGTTGCTACTCTTATTACTAGCGTCTGTTCCTGGTGGGAAACTGTACACTAAAGCCCAATTAGGTTAAGCTCGTTTATGGATTTGGCGATCATTAATCTCTGCTGCTCCGATTAGTTCCAGCATTTAACTGATTCAAGACCCTTTCATGTACTTTTCTCCCCTTTGCTCTCTTTCGGTCGCTTTTTAATATTTCTTTTAATCAGGGGTCAAAGATCTACTTGCTTAAGAGACTCACATACGGCGAGGCTAAGGATATACTTTATTGTGAGTGGTTGCCAACCGCATCGGTGGCCTTCAAAACTGCATTGACAGTCTAAGGCCTCGGCGGAATCAATCCACTTCAACCCACCGAGCCACCCAGATATCATCCCATGTTGTTGATATACAGACCTAAGTATGTATGATATCGTCATCATCAGCAATTACTCCTCTTCAAATGAGGGGAAAAGAGAACTAACTGGCTCACAATGACTCGGATGAATCGAATGAGTGGGATAGGAGGTCGATGCGATAAGAATTCACATTCTACACAAAGTTTTGATTGTTGATATTCTTAACTTCTAGATTACTGTTTACCAAAGTACATGCCAACCTCCCTACCTACTGCCTACCTACCTACCTATCTAGGCATTGGCGCTTTTTGCGTTTACGTACTGCTAAATCCAGTCAAAAACACATCTACCACCACCAGGTATCTAGGTTAGTCATTTCAATGCAACTCTATAGCCATTTTTGGATACTAACACAGAATAGTCAATTCCATTAAGCCAATCATAATTTCCTGAATAATGGGATTTTTCTAAATTACGACGACTTCACTGTCTGTGCTGAACGCCACATTAAGTATCTGAGAGAAGACCCATGGGAAACTTGAGGTGCCACTCGAGATTCGAGACTGTTCTAACTTTTTAATTGGTGATATACCTTTTTCAATTAACGAACCGTCTGAACTCTGAAACATAGACTCTGATCTCTCACGAGTCACTACGAGACTACTTCAATTGTAATCATGACCCTCTCTCGAGCCTCTACGGGCCTTACCGTGAGCGAAAAAGACGTTCCTTTCTTGGCCGCCCAATTGTCTTGACTCCTTGTCATATCAATATTTCTTTTTCGTATGTTGGCAGAAACCAGCCGAATTAGATGTCGCTACTGCAAAAAGCCATGTTCGTGTTGCACCCGTGGCGCAAACCAGTCCGTTCGGATCTTGGGGGCGCTGTGAATCCCCCAGAAATGTTTCAATGCAGGGGCCCCTATTTTGGATTATTTTGATGAATATGTTAACGGTCTCAATTGTTGGGAAATTCTCGACGTCTTCCAATATGGGTTCCTTGGTGTTAAGTTGTTTCTAACAAAACAACAATCACAAATAGTCAATCACCTTTTCATCCTTTTCCTCGACTAGAAGGTCTGACATTTAACCGAACATTGAGAAATCTCCGTACGGGCTTGATTTGGGTGGACAAACGGCTGGTAAAGAGGCACATTGCATTAAGATGTCTTACACTGAATTCTTGAAACGTTATGTCTTGATGGAATGAGGCGGCATGTTTTGCCCATATTCCAGATACCATTCATGCGCAGATTGACTTATTTGTTGACCTTTAGCATCATCCGAGGACTCTTTGAAATCTTCCAAGGTCTGTAAAAATGCGAATCTACACTTGTCTGTTATGTTTCCGGATGCCACCAAAGTCCTAAGAAATACCCATAAAGATTCCTCTTTCCATTTCAATGAAACTGCCATTCCAAGAACTTCTTCACATATCGAGGATTTTCGGTCAACCGGAGACGTCGCTGTCAAAAATATAGGAGAAGATAGACAGGATAAGAGGAAAGACCACCCTGAGGTATCTCCTGGATGCCCCAAGCACCACTTCTTTACATTATATATTATTGTAAGGTAGGTAGTTTCATCACCTTCCACCGATTCCATCAACCACCTCATGTGAGACCATGCGTAGTAATTCCGAGGATGCCTCTCAGCTGCCACCATAACAACTGATGTAAGGTCCCGAGATACATCAAGAGGTAAATCCTTGGATTGACGAAATTCAAGAAGCCATCTCCTGTGGCTCCAAAGCGTCGGTGACTTTGTATGACGATTGAGGTGGGACGTTAAAAGACTATCAACGAATCGCAACTCGCTCTTTACTTCCAATCCCAGCTCAAATACAGTCTTCTTTCGAATACTTTGTACAAGTCTTTTTCGAGCGTTGCACGCGGTTAAATGTTCCGGGTCTGTGAGAAGAATGATCGAAGTAGCATCCCGGATTTCCTTTGAATATTTGGGGCCCAGATCTTTGAAGTTGAAGAACACTTTCCGTGCAATAACAAATGCTTGGATGAGTTTGATTTTAGGTATACCAACACTGTTCTCGAGGACTACCGTATTGACATCCTCCGGTAACTGGCCTTTCCCAAGAAGCTCAAAGTCTATCAACTCGTGTCTGAGAGAATGATAACGAGGATCAAGTACTTTCACGATATCGTCGTAGACCTTTTGAGAATCGCTAGCATTCATAGATGCAATAGCATCTTTATCAAGTGCTCGTGACATGAGGTCGAACTCTGAGGTGGCTGTACAATGTGTAAAATCATTCAAATGATATTCATCTTGCTAACGCGATCTATTAGTTGAATGTACTTGGGGATTATACCATCCGAAAGAAATGCCTTTTTCGCTGTCGTTGAGAAGATACTGTGGTAGTTCCAGAGATAGTTTCCATTCTCGTGATGACCTCAACATGGTCCGAGCTTCTGAAGCTTCCGTACAAATTACAAAGAGTCGAGTATAACAGCCCACCATCAAACGGACACGACACAGTACCGACAACTACATTTTCAGGAAGTTTTTGAAGAAAGGAGCAGTCGGTTTCGACTACATAACTTTGGAAACATGCCGTCTCTCCTCTTTACATGTTTCCTTGTCCAGTTACTCATCCACCTCGTCAATACTTTTGGTGCAGATGCGATCAATAATATAGTAAGCTCTCCAATTCTCAATACCTATCCTTACCAAGTCCCTTTACCATTCAATCTTCCTCTCACAAAATCATCTAACCACTCCTAGCTATGGAATCTCTACAATATGTTCCCGACACCAACATCGCAGTCCGCGGGCGAGCAAAAGAAATTGAAGCGAGAATTCATGAAAGTTCGTCATGAAATGAATGCTACGAGCAGTCAAGATGAATTTGCCAAATGGGCGAAATTGCGCAGACAGCACGACAAGTTGTTTGATCAGTTGGAGAAATCAAGTACGTCCCTACATACCCAAACCTACAGACTTCAATACGTGGCTCAAATCTAACATCTCGCCCACAGAATCCTCTCTCGATTCCACCAAATCTACCTTTGATTCCTCAGTTTCTACGCTCCGCTGGTTGGGCACGAATGGTCTACGAATGTTGTTACAATTCTGGTTCTCAAAGCAAGCTATGTTTTGGTTGCCCAAAGGATGGTTCCCTTATTACGCGGAGTGGTTGTTGAGTTTCCCTAGAGCGCCACTGGGAAGTATCAGTATACAAGCATGGACACTTGCATGCGCAGCTGTGATTCTGTTGGTTAGTGATGCCTTGGTTGCAGTGGTCGCGTTAGTTTTGGGAACACAAACTGGTGCAAGGGCGAAGAAGATGGAGGAGCCTATGAAGGCTGGCGGACAAGGTGCAGAGAAGCCCGGCAAGAAAGAGTTGTGAGGTTTACAATTCTTGATACGTATATATCTTTACGAACGCGATGTTGTACGAATATTTCTACATTTTTACGAAACACGAGAATATGATAGAAAGAATGTCTCTCAACAATTAAGACGCAAAGATCCTCATAGCTAACGCTGAGATCATGCAACACGAGTGAGATGACTCTTGGCAGAGTACTTGGGGCTTAATCTGGGCATACTTTTTGACTGTGAGAGACCATTGAGAAATGGGTCGCCAAAGCTTCGAAAGTGCCACTACATGTGTGTCAAATTAATACTATACCTAATCGTTCCCACGAAGAGACATTGCAGTTCGAGAATAATAAGCGCATACGAGAGAACAGAGTCATGTTCTCATGCGCAAGTGCGTTGCTCATATTTCAGACAACTTGTGCTTAACTTTGGCTGATTTGTAGTTGTTAAGATTCAAAGAATGAAAATTTCAAGAATTTATTTATGCGGAATTATTTCGAGACTCCACACTAATGGAGACGCGAAGGAAGCACTAACTACATGCAGCCACCGCCTTTATCATTGTTCCATGGCAGAATACCTTTGATTGTCTTATCGCGAACGTGTTCTGAAGAAATCAGGAATCGATCCAAACTGCCAAATCTATAATACTTTTGACAAGTTGAGCTTCGCACATATATCATGGTAGGAATATCGTTTGGGACGTACGTACTCTTCTCGCTTCTTGTCTCCCAGTTATACTCTTTTGGACCTACCATTCGCAGGCTCACAGATCCACAAACTAACTCACCCACAGTATCAAGTCCATTGTAATATTCTTCGGGCCACTGATTCTACCCAAAGCAATCGGTTACTATCGATCGCAACGCGCAGCTCCTCAAGCCCATGGTCTCACAGTTCAACCTGTTCCTCCAAATGTATCTCGCGCTCTCACGATTCTCTTCATAACCTCTCTCGCTTTCCTCGTCAAAACCTTCCCTACTTTCACCACTCCCTCGCTCTTCACACTCACCCAGTCTCGTCTACAAATTCCAACCGATGTCCTCTTTACCCGTCTTCATACCCTACGTCCCACTGGTCTTACTCCCACCGACGAAATCCTCAAAAATGCATTTACGAGCAAAGAGTCACGTCTCCTATACCTAAAATACGGTCCAGATACCATGATAAACTGTCTCTTCTGCAACCCCGAGGATCCTCCATCCTACTTACTCTATTCCCTCGTGAGCATCGTCATACCACATCTTTTCAATCTCTGCGTTCTGGCTCTCGCAACCAGTACTCTCTTTATTGGAAAAGAAGCAAATATGTGGCGCGGAAAAGCTACCACTCTAGCTGGCGCAATTGCGGTCCTCGATATCTATTTCGTCACACAATACAAACATACGAATAATGCCACTGCGCTGAGACTTGAGGAGATCGATCACTTTTACTGGAACATGCAACTTTACCGCAATATAGCATTAGCAGCATTAGATGGGCTCGTCGGTTGGCTTCTTTACCTATCTTCTACAAACCGAGCATTCCTCACTCCCCCCACAACGGCGGAGAAAATAGAAGCTACGACGAGAATTATAGACCAGGCGAGAGGAAAATTGAACGGGATAGCATTAATGCGTAACACGACGGTGAGGGATAAAGATTTGAGAGGAAAAGTAAACGAATACTGGGTGAGAGAAGCGAATGTCATGTCAGAGGTATTAGAGACCAGGGAGGTAGTCGATGGTGTTCGAAATGCATTGGAGGGTAGAGTTGATCTGGTTGCGGTACAGAGGGATGCAGATGCCTTTGCGGAGGCTGTTCTTGGGGGTGTAGGGAAGGTGGTTATGTAATTTTATGTGCTTTTGCATACATCGATTTATCCTCAATATTTGTGTATCTTGGGGTTTTATCATTACTTGTCGTTTTCGTAGAAGATCTATTCAGTGCAGGGAAGCTAACATAGATGAAATGAGCGGACGTTATGACAAGCCTACAAAAGCTCGTCTATTTTCAGACTCCACCAACTGTCCCCTTTTTGTAATCCCAACCCCTTGATGAAAGGAATTATCATCGCACTACAAAGTACACATCACTAAAACAAGACATAAACCTCAGAAACGAGCGACATAATCAAGAAACCCAATATTAAAATTTCTCCTGAACACAAGATATTTTGGTGCTAACAAGCCCACCAAGACCCTATATGATATGCCACTTGCCAAAACGAAATGGGATAAAGATTCCACGAGCAACGCCATGAAAAAAGATCCTCGTAGCACAATAAACAGACGGCGTGAAAACCATAACAACACCCAGTCTCACACCCAGTGAAACGCCCTCGCAATGTAGCTAATATACACCTCAATCTATTTCACAAATGACAAAGCCCCTTCCTTTCCAATATCCTATTTTGTGGCGAGAGTAGCTGAGCTACTGACGCTTTCACTTCTACCATCTTTGACACTTCCTTCCTCGGCGCTCTTTTCTAGAAATCCTGTCCATAGTTCTGATAGAGATTCCTTTTGAGAATTTGAGGGCTCGGTAAAGAATTCCGTGGATAAGGATGGTGTGCTTGGTGTTCGGTGGAATGGTGACATTGGTAAACGTAAACTATTACTCGAAGCACCTGGCCTTGCTAAACCGGCTTGCTCTTTTTGTTCATCTGTCCAGTTCAACAATGAAGCAATGACTTGTAGTACTTGAAATTTCTTCGGATCCGAACGATCCAATGAGAGGAAATGTAAAAAGTGGTTTGTGACAACTTGTCTATGTTTTGTTAGTTCCAAATTCCAATTCGTAGTATGGGGTTGTAACATACCTATCAACATTGTCCTCTACTTTCGACTTTTTGATAAATCTCAATGCTTTCGTGAGGTGATCATTAATCACAATGGCTTCATGACGAAGTTTGCCAATCAACAAGTTCTTTTCCTTGACTTCCTTTTCGAATGGTAGAAGTCGATTCAATTCTGTTTGTAGAGCCTCTTTCGAAGTTTCAGCCTCCACGCATCTAGAATCCGACTCCTGAACGACCTTTTTCAAGGATTGAAGTTGCTCATCATAACTTTCGACCATCTCCCGGAGTTCTCGTCTTCGAGTCTCTTGAATTTCCTGTAAAGCTCGTTGTAATCCATCGACCGCTTGAGAATGGCTATCGCGTTCGGCGACCGTGGTTTCGTATGCTTCTTTCTGAGCAGAAAATTGTTCCTCCATATCAGAAACTCTACTCTCCAGGTTCTCTCGTATAGATCTCTCTTCCATAGCCAAAACTTCCCAATCTCCCATGGCTTCTTTTGCAGCATCGGCTTCCTCTTTGAGATGTTTAGCTTGTTGAAGCAGATCTTCCCTTTCGTGGACCCAATTCTGTTGTGATAAATTATTACGATTCCGCATGGTCGAAAGTTCTTTGGAAGATTCGTTCAGTTCATTCCGTAATTTGGATACCTCATCTTCCAATCCTTGGATAGTACTTTGAAATGATTCCACTTGTGATTCCAAGTCTTCGATTTTCTCATTGGCCTCCGCCAATTCCTCTTTATCTGCCTTTAATCGTTCGCCCAAGGTAGTTTTGATCGTATTAACGCGTGTGAGTAAAGTATGATATTGAGATTCCCAATTCTCTCTTGAAGATTCAGTCTCCTCCAATTCTGCTCGGACTGTAGAAATTTCCTCCTCATGTTGGCTCTTGAGTGCGGTGATCTCATTTTTGTATTTTTCCTCGACAGATGATAGATTCTCGGAGTATTGGCCTTTGGCTGTTGAATCTTCTTCCGTGTGCTTGCCCTGTATATCCTCGAGGGATTTTCTTAGTTGTTCAACTTCAGCGCGCAATGCCTGACGTTCCGCCGTCATTGCTTCCAGTCGAGCACTCGAGTCCAATTCATCTGACCCATTACTTTCCGAGGTCCCTTCTTCTTTCCCGGCGCTAGATTGTGTTGGCGCAATGGTATGGCCATTACCCTCGGAGTCAATTTTGCGCCCGTTCGTTTGCGAATCTATGCTTGATGGAAATTGGGCATCCTTTGGAGTATTCTGTCGAGATTTATCAGAATGCGCTTATGTTTGCTATATAGTGAGTTGTGAACAGGTGTCACTCGTACCACAGTTGACTGCCCGGATTCCTCTGGATTCCCATCTTCTTCTTCTGCTCCATTTACTGCGAGATCGTCCACTTGATCTTGAATTTGAGGTACTTCTCCGTTTGATTTCGATTTGGCATTCTTCTTCTTCTTATTGCTCTTCTTCTTCGCTATTATTTTGTCAGTGTTTGTTCTCATAGCGTGAGCTTCCCCACCATAACGGCGATGTACAAGGGCAAACGAACCTGGAGAAGTAATATTAGAAGAATCCGTAGGGGCTGTGGCTGACATGATCTGATAATAGGAACAGATTTGATAATAAACAAGAAATCTTTCTCTTTTGGACAAATCGCAATTCAATTATTGTCGAGGCTGTGAACCTTTGAACATTGCTAGGTAGTGTTCTCCAATTATGGCACAGTATGTTTAGCCCGAAGTCTTAGAGCTGCGTAATGGTTCGCTTTAGGGTCAAAGAAGTTACCGTATTCGTATATATTTCCATCGGGTTTATGTTAACCCTGTATTTGTGTTGACGAAGCGTCAGATCCATCTGCATCAATTGCAACTCATTCACCACGTTCATCTACTATTTTCACGTGTATATGTTTGATGAAAGCCAATGTACTAATATGATATTGCAAGAAGGTATTTGTCTAGACAAAAGCAAGTGTCACATTGAAACCTAGGTACATATGTCAAGAACAAGGGCACAAGCCAAAATACCATTCATCCGAGTCTATTAGTCTCTAGGCCCACGGAATGATTTGAGATACTTGCATATAGGACAACTACTACAAACCTAAATCATGGATCTCATACTCCTGATAGATCCTCGAATGCGGGGATGGGAGAGCTATATTCTATAGTCATAGAATTGTTCTCGAGTTACCAATCATCTTCTTTGATTTGATGTTTATATCACTGACTAATGTTAGTCTGAAAACGACTGTCCAAATTGATGCAAGACGAATATGGTCTTGAAAGGAATGGGCTATTCAATTGATATCTACCCCGCCCATTCTGCCATTCAAGCGAATGGCTACTTGGTATATAAAGCTCATTAAAGTACCCTGAAAAGATCTACAAAACTTATATCAAATTCTCTTGTTATCCATACTCCTAGTAGTCAATCTTCAACTTCACCTTCTTACATCATGGGCTCCATTGAATCAGAGGGACTGAAATCCCGCAATTATATCAAATGGGATGCTTCAGGGGTTGAAGTCATTCCTCCCAATGAACAGGAAGACATACAAGCTATTGCGGACCAGATCAATGCCATACAAAAAGCTCAATTTAATGCTCATCGCCATTGCTTTGGAGGTAACACTTCTCAGCCCTTGAGTCGAAATAGAAATGCTAAAATCGTCAAAAGGAACACATGCAAGAACTCAAGGACTGGTCAAGGGTGAACTAGTTGTTGGGGATTTACCTCCACATCTTGCGCAAAGCATGTTCTCTCGTCCAAAGACATATCCAATTGCCATGCGATATAGTACCGAACCTGGTGATCCAGCTCTCGACGATCGTATTCCGCAACCTCGAGGTCTAGGAATGAAGGTTTTCAATGTCGATGGTGAAAGATTTGACGGGAAAGAGTTGAGCACACAGGATATCGAATTCAATAGTACTCCTGCATTGGATCTTGCAGATGCAAAGACGACAAAAGAAATTATTGATCTTAGAATTAAGTACGGAGGAGATAAGAATGAGTTGTACAAGCATCTAGAAGCTCGCAAAGATACGGCATTACAAAAAGCTCGTGATGAAGTCAGGAACACCCATCTCGAGGTATATATTTACACCATCTAGCCACCCTACACAACTCAACTACTGACATAAATCTAGTCAACACGACAGTATTCGCAAACTGCTTATAGATTCGGTGACTATGTTGTTAAATACTGCTTAGTTCCATCTTCAGAAACGCAAAAGAAGCTTTATGAAGAGACAGTCAAACCAGATGCCCATCCAGATAATATTCTTAGTGAATGGCTCAAAGATTTCCACACAAATCATGACGCAGAATATCTCTTTCAAGTCCAACTCCTTGAGAATCTCGAAGACCAGCCTGTGGAATATGCTGGCAAGATCTGGGATCCCGAAAAGTATCCATGGCAAACAGTTGCCACCCTCAAGATCCCTAAGCAAGATAGTTTTATAGCCGCGAGAAAGACGTTCTGGGAAGATCACATGAGATTAGATCCATGGCATGGGCTCAAGAGCTTTCAACCTCTTGGATCACCAAACAGATTGAGGAAAGTCGTCTATCCTGCTAGTAGTTCTTTCCGTCGTAAGATGAATGGAAGACAGGAATTGGATGTTAATAGTATCGATTCAATTCCAGATGGAGGTTGGGTTATTGGGGCATTGTGAGCGTTGAAAGAATGGTACATGAATTATGGTTTGGAATACGGATATTACTAATGATGAATACAACATAAGCTATTGTTGTCAAATAACCTCTCACAATCTGTGACTTTAGGTTTCTTTCGTCTAATCTAATCTATGAGTCCATCCAATTGCCCCTTTGAATCCTCGTCGCTTCCATCCCAGAATCTCACCCTTAATTCTCAGGCATCAATGACTAAGTTACCTAATCACGATCAAAACGCACAGACCTCTAATCTACCATAAAATCCTTCACCTCATCTCAACTTCTTTTCTTTTCTCTTTACATATAACCACAGCATCCGTTGTCAGCCCTACCTGGGCCTATCTAAGTTTACTTGGATTAGTTCGGGTAGGATTGTAGTAGGGACTTTTTTTCACAAGACCCAAGTACTGAAATGGATAGCTCAGAGAAAAGAACGCTTCAAAATTCTGATTATTGTCTATGCTCGATGGACTTTTCAGGTTCGCTTTGTGTCTACATTCTGTGAAGAGGAAGGATGAACTGTTAGGGCGGTGATTGGAGTTGGAGAGGCGACTGCGGGAGGAGATTGGATGGAAGAGGAGGGAGTTCTAAAGGTCGCGTAGGTAGCAGCAATGAATCCAAGTCATTTTACAGCAATTCAATTTTGACATGTCCATGATATACATCCACAACCCGCCCATCAAGCATTCAGAGAGAACTTGAATGGTAAATTAAGTCAAGCCCAGTTAGTTCGCCATTTCATATCTCATTGTTAATGCCAAATCCGGAGCCAGCTGGTCCAAAGGTAACGCCTGAGTTTCACACATCCTCAAAATAGCATCCTTATCCAGCATCCCAATATAAATACGTCGAGCAATAATCATCCTGTAAACCACAGCCATCTTCCCATTGAAACCTCAAGAATAAGCTAGACTAGTGTCCTCGTTATTTCTTAACCCATCTCAATCCCACACTCTCCGGGTCAAGCATTTCATGCAACATATGTCTCTCATGATCAACCACCAGACTACTCTTCCATGCCCTCTTTCTAGCCTGCTCATCAGTCTCTCCATCCTTCGGGACAACTTCAACTCTCCAGTCTTTGAACAATGCAGCTAATACAGCAACAAGTTCTACCTGCGCAAATTTCTTACCAGGACACACTCGTTGACCCCATGCAAAAGGCATGAAATGATTCGAGGTATCCCCTTCAACCTTTTCCTTGTCAAAATCTTGCGTGCTATATTTTTCAGTGGAAGTGGAGGTAGACGACATGCTGATGAACCGGCTGGGGTTCCAGGAAAGAGGATCGGAACCCCAGTATTTTGGATGCGCATGAAGAGCGGGTATAGAACAGTGGACAGTAGTATGCGGTGGGAGAACATAAGTTTGACCATTAACCTCGAGAGTTTGTTCGTGTGAACCAGTAGTTTTTACAAGTTGAGATATGGGGTGACAAATACGGAGGGTTTCGAACTGCTGTTTGTGAGTATACTTTATTCTTCAGGAAGTCAGGAATCAAGGGGACTTACAATAACTGCTCTACAGCGCTTTAACTGAAAGAATGTTTCGTATTTCCAGGACTCCATATTCACATCTGTGGGTAGATAACAGTTTATCTCCTCAGAAATCCAATCTTGGGTGTCGGGATTAGCAGCAAGATGAATAAGTAAGCTGGTGAGCGCAATAGCTGTTGTATCATTACCAGCAAAAGCGTAGACGAAAAGATTACTCAAGATCTCCTTTTTCGTAAGCGTCATCTTTCTTCCTTTATCCCAAGTTTTATCCGTGATCGTATCATCTGCATCCAGTTCTTCACCCCCCTCGCGAGCTTTCACTAGTCGTGCTACCAGGTGCTTGTTCACAGTTTCTCCACGTGCAAGATGTTCTTTCTCTTTATCCATCAAACTGAAAATATAAGAGCGGAAGTCATCCATCGCTCTCGCTGCATTTTTAAATGAATGAGGTGTCCACCAGGCTTTTAGACCTTGTTCTCCGAACATGAAAATTTGGATGATGGATGACAGAATCGTGGATAGAGATTCTCGGTACTGATATGACTTATTATTCTTATGAGAATCTAGCTTCTCAACCTCATGACCTTCAAATGGATACACTTCGTTAAACATTGCAGCTGCAAGAACATTTAGCGTAAAGTTCTTGGTATCCAAATGTGTCGATCGAACCGGTTGTTTCGCCTGTTCAGTCCAGTACTCCAACATTCCTTTCGCCTGAGCTAATGACTGTTCCCAAACCAGCTCATTATTTTTTTCCGTAAATGTCACCGTCGTCATCTTCCGATGAGCTTGCCACTCTGCATCATCCGCCGTCGACAAATTCCGTCCATAAACATCCAAAACAACCATCTCCTCCATATTCCTCCTGAACTCCGTTTTCCTCGTCAGAACATCGTAGATGATTTTAGCATCCGCAACACAGAGTTGTATACCCGCCGGATGAACAACTAGAAATGCATCGCCGTAATCGACAAAGATTTGGGCTCGCTCGTTGGCTTCCCAGCCGTGAGAATAGATGCGTGTGAAGTTCTCGGATGCAATTCCAAGTCGTTGACAGAGTCGCACAATGGAACTACCATAGAGAAGCCAGATGGGGTTCATGGGCGATACATAGCGAATGAAGTAGGGGAGACCTATTACGCGGGCTTTGGCACGGTTGGTGGCTAAGGTTTGAGCCGACCAAATTATGAATCCGAGTGGGAGAGCGAGAAACGTAACAACTATGGTAAGCAGCAACATGGTGTAGCTACTTGAAATTCCTAATGACAGCAACGGATGAAACGCCATTTCCATTTTGATAGAAGAAGTTCGATGAAGAAAGTCGAAGAAGCAAAGGTTTATAAGCTTGTCGAAGCGAAGCAACTCGGCAAACAAACCCCTCTCTACCACTAAGACACAGCGCCAAGCATGATTCCTTTGAACAGTATCCGGTCCATTCTGTCATCACAGTGAATTCCTAAAGCGAATGAAAGTTGAGGAATTGAAAATAATCACACCAATTTGAGGTTCTCATGCCTGCTGTCATTGGCCCACTTTCTGCGGTACAGCCATTGTGTGGAGCCGATACTAACAACAGTGGGAGAAAGTACGTACATATATATCCATTTTTGCTTGTACCATCTTGGCAGATCTGATCAGTAGCGAGGCTCTTCTCATTTTGATAGACATAGCTTGACAGACATCAAATGGTGTGAACTGGGTATTGTCAAATGATATTGTGAGAACATCAACTTTTTGCTTTGTGGGTTGAAGGAACCTGGAATTTTTGCAGACGTGTGCCATTAAGTATCTGTTTTGATTTTCTCTTAATTAGGAATATGAGGGTATCCTACTATAGTCTCTTACCCCTTTGTCCTCCATTGCTGTTCTCTAGCCATTTCCATTTCTATTCCTCTCAAAACACCCAGCTAATCTGTTCTTCTCTAATTATCATATAAATATCACTATTGTGGTATACTTTGATGTCGAACTATCCAAGGAATGACCACTCGTCGAGACAGACCCTTCACTTAGGAAGTGGAAGATTGGTTGTAGTAAATACATAGTGTTGATGCCACGCCATAGTGACTGCCCAGGTACGTACCGTTAGTCTGGACATCAAAATTGAAATGAACCGTTGGAGAATTTGACTGTGCCGCAAAGCGTCTTCTCGGGACGAGAATCCCGAGTTTGCTACTACATATTAGGTGAATGAGCCGAATTTGTTGACCTACGCATGATGACCAACGGTTGGAGAGTTCGAGGAAATAATCATTCCATCTCCCTTGCAGACTGCAAGTATTATTTTCTTTTGTGTTACATCCATTTCTTCCTCGAATAGGGGCAATTGCCCGTTTGTGCATACGATGAATTTCTTTGGCCAGTTTCAAATCACAAGTTTTATAATCTTCTTCCTTCAAAAAAAAATTTCATGCCCAGAAATCGTTTTCTCGAAGCAGCCAAAATCTCACAATGGACGAGGAAAAAGACAAGTGCTCTAGAACTCTTGTGGAATAGGAAATATTTCCAGAGAACGGCCAACCCAAAGAATTACTTGAGGATGTCGAAGATTCCTCGGATCGATATCTCATTGGGTGAAGACTTACACTCGTAACAATATCTCTAGCCCTAGGAATGTTCCTCACGGGCGTCGACAGTAGTGTCATTGGCGTAGCAACTCCTGGAATCAGAACTTCATTCCACACGATCGATGACCTTGCCTAGCATGGTTCTGGCTATATGCTTCCACATACTGCTCTTCAACCTATCCTAGGTGCTATTTACAAATCTTTCAATGTCAGATATGTCTTCTTGATATCGATTACTATCTTTGAGGTTGGGTCTTGTCTGTGTGCTGCTGCACCTACTTCTGCAGCTTTTACCATCAGTAGGATTATAGCTGGATGTGGTGCTGCTGGATTGCTTCAGGGAACACTAGCAATAGTTGGACTATCTGTTCCTAAGAGAAAGATCCCTCTATATTATGGTACGTCCTTAGCGTACAAGGAGTCAGTGCCTGCACTGCTCCTATCTTTGGCGGGATATTTACAGATAAATTGACATGGCGATGGTGCTTTTGGATGTAAGCTCAATATTATCTGCTCCATGAAATCTAATTACTTCATATCCTGACCGTTCTAGAAACTTACCTATAGGCGGTGTTGCATTGGCAATGGTGATGCTATTCGTGAAACCAAGATTGCCAAAACAATCCAACGACATCAGATCCTCTCCTTCAAAAATTACAGCGCATGGACTGGGCCGGAACCATCATTTTTCTGTGCCTTTGTATGTTTATATTTAACTTCACAATAGGGCGGACAAACGAAGCCATGGCGCTCATCAGAAGTCATCAGTCTCTTCATCGGCTTTGGTCTTTTACTGGGTCTTTTTGCATATACTCAAAGTTCACGGGCGAAAATTCCCTCATTCCTCGAAGAATCTTGAAACGGCGAACTGTTTTATTTGGTACCATTTATCTGATTCTGTTTGGTCTTCAAATGGCTGTTGTGAGTAGCCCCCCTTTCTTCTGCTGGCGAAAAGAGTCTAAAATTACTAGTATTTACAATACATACCAATATATTTCCAAGCTGTACGTAGCACATCCGCATTAAATAGTGGAGTTCGGATGATAGCCATGGACGCTGGCAGAATCGTTTTCATCATCATTTCGGGCATCCTCGTTACTAAATTTGGACATTATGTAAGTGATAGCAACATTGTGTTCGTTCTATATCCTAACTAAGTATATAGATGCCTTACATGGCCGTCGGAACTATTATCACTGTGATCGCCGCAGATCTATTGACAATGTTTGGTCTTGATACCTCGACAGCTCGCTCAACAGCTTTCATGTTTCTTGCCGGAGCTGGGGCAGGGCAGGCATAGGAGGCAATCAACCTTTTACTGCGTTACAAGCTGCACTGAAGTACGGATCGTCAATATACCTATCTACGAGTATATTCTGACCATAAACAGAGAAGAGGACTTATCGATTGGAAATGGCTTAACCGTGTTTGATTTGCAGTTGGGAACGTAAGTTACAGAAATACCAACAATTCAGTATTGTACCACGCTAATAAAACCACCAATTTCTCTCAGATCCCTTGCGTTCGCCATAAGTCAACCCGTCTTCCTCGCAAAGATCTTCAGTCATCTAGCAAATGACCCTCTTACATCAACTATACCACGCTCGTCAATCATCATCGCAGCCGGCGCCTCGCATCTAAACCGACTCGTCGACAATTCAACCGCATTAGAAGTGTTGCGAAAAGCGTATAGTGAACGTATCAGAGATACCATGATCGTCGCGCTTGTTGCAAGTTGTTTGTGTCTGTTATGTCTACCGGGAATGGAATGGTTGACATTAGAAAACACTGGTGCGAAAATTAAGACGGATATAGAGAATCCTGCATCGGGAGTTCTGTCACTGGTGGAAAATGACAAAGATTCGTAGATCTTTTCCGTCGAGTCATTTTTCTTTGCTCTTCATGTTGGCAAAATTACTGACGGTCTCTTCGTGTCGCTGGTAGTTCCAGGTTATGTAAGTAGCACTGCAATAGATAGAGTTATAAATGGCGTTAGGGTTGACATATATTGCTAGTTCAAAGTCCTTACTGCTCTCTAATCTCAATGGAATTCTTACCCTTAAGGAAATCGAAAATAATATAATACAAATTCTCTTAATAATGTCCTTTATCAAAAAAAACTTCAAAAGTCCTTACATGTAAATATAAATTATAATCTACTACACTAAATACATTGCATTCCTATAATAAGCCTGTCTCCATATAGGACGCGTGGGTGACTATCTACATCTCACCAGTAATATTCATCTCTTCTCAATACACAGCATCACCTAAGAGCCATTAGAAAGACCGCAAAGCCGTCTTCTATAATCCGAACACGCCCAGGCGCAATAAATCCGATTTATTTATAATACTTCATCATCTCACCTTGTTCGCTTCCTCGAAGTAGAGGTAATGCCATTGAGGAAGTTTATCACCTCCTATTCTCTTCTATTGACTTTCCATACTCGTTTGTAGATCAAGCTATCCGGAACAATATAAGAGGTACTATTATATAATGCAGAACTTCGCTACTTCTATCATATCCTTCAAGTGATGCACTACCCTATCTGAATTCAAGCAAGTAAGACGATGCTCGAATATACACAACTTTATGATGCTGGGCAAACCGCATCAGATTGCCCTGCTAAGACTTATCGACGGTGAAATTAAGAGGTAGTTTGAAGTGAGCCGATAAAATGCTAGAGTGATAGTCAGAGTAAATCAGATCGTTGGGTGTCAATACAGTGTAGCACAGTATTCCACACCCCAGGTTGATGGTCCGCCGACATCTCCTTCTATCTACGTGATTCTCGAGCAAAGCACTTGACTACAATTGTTAAACTATGCCTTACTTATAAGAACATATTTAGTATTGTCTTTGATTTATCGTCGATTCTGAATGTTGACTTCAGGAGCAAGGAAGACTTGTTGCGTGCTGCATTGCATTCATCATGTTGACGTTCGGTAGCTATAAACTTCCCTTCATTGAACCACAAAAGCTATAGAAAATAATGAATTATGAAGCTTCCCAAACAAAAGCATTGCAATCCAAATCTTCAAGGTGTAACGACAATATAAATGCAATAGGAAATCTGAAGATCAAGATGAAAACAAAACCGCAAAATACCCCAAGAAACTTCATGACTAAATCACATACGTCCAGTCTGTCATGATTACATAGTATCTTCATATAATAGAAATTGTATACCACGTAATCCCATCTTCATCTACATCAGTTGAGATATAGTCTTTTTCTGAAGGAAGGGCATCGCCAAGACCCAGCTCTTTGAATTGCTCATCATCTTGGGTAAGATTCATGGCTCGACGAATTGATTCATAGCCATCAGAGTAGCTAGGCAAATCAAAATAACCGACACGCTCATATTTCCCATTTTCTTGATTGGTCAACATTAGCACGAGCACCTTAATAGAATTTAACAAGACGCCAATAGGCAACATTAAAATTGATTCAGAATAGCTCTCCAAACCACAATCTCTATGATCCCAAAAGATATCGGAAGTTCTAATTGGGAATTTACCAAAGGATATTCCGCGATAGTTGTTAGCAGTGTTGGGACGTGGCTCCATTCCAAAGATCATCATAAATCTTGAGCGTAGGGTCAGGATTCCGCTCTTAACACCTCCAAATGGATCGTCGGTATTTTCAAGAGTTATGTCAATTTTGGTGACGTCGATATATGCTTCATGAAAAACTTCTGTATCCCCAGGAAAATAGACTGAATTGTTCACTGCAGCCCATGACCAGGAAGGGGCTCGCCCCGTGTTTTCTCTCGGATGTTGCCTATGCTCACCGTAGGTGAACCAGCACATCTGCTCTCTAATCCGAGATTGCCACAGTCCTGCAAGGTACTTATCACCATTTTTCTTTTGGTGTTGTCTTGCCACACCACCTATTGCAATTAAACGATCACTCTCGTTTGTTAACGAACAATGGGTGTATATTTGGATAATCTTGCTCCAGGACAGGAGCTCTTGTTTAGGTAGATATAAGGTGTGATCAGAGAAATTTTCCGGTAATGTACCAGGAAAAGTCTCACAAGCCTGATTAGTTCTACATTCCCAAAAGAGTTGGGATTTAGTAAAATGTAAGGTCCGCGGGGCTAGTATTCGCTCCTGGAAAGCCCAAGCGCGGTTTGTCAAGGCCGCATTGGCGATATTGTTTATATACAAACGGTCATCTGCAATGCTGTAGACCTGTTTTTGACGGTCCATTTTCACTTCGACCTTATGTTTTTCCGTGTATCTCAAGTCGCGGTCAAACAAGCAACCAATGGTACCATCTGGGGCGGCTGTGGCAGCAATATTCAAGCTTGAAAGTCCATAAACGGTAGCCATTCGAGAAGCCTCTCTACTCCAATCCTCAGGATCGCCCTGTACTATACATAATGAATCAATCCACAGCCATGAGAAACCTAAGACTCTCGCAATATAAATTGCATCGCGGAAAGTTTTGCATAACTTATCATAAGGAATTTTTATCAAAAAATCTTGGAGGTTATCCTTTTGGAGCCGTAACACTTCAGTCTTTCCCCAGCAATGGCTTAGAGTTGCATATTCTGAGCAATTCTCGTTGGAAGACATACACAGACGTGTTTCTTGAGAATCAATTTTGATCAGTCGTGTAGGTAGAACAAAAATGTCTTCTTGTTGCTTACAAGCACTGTGATTTAAGTGGCATTCTCGAATCCATGCCCGCACAATACCCGTAGATTCTTCAGTAGCACCCAATCGAAGCTCTTCACAGCTATTCTGACCATTTTTTTCATCAATATAGCAAGAATCCGAACCATGGTCTAGCATGATTTTTGTCCAAGTAATTATTTGCCGTTGATCATCCTTGATTGTTCGGAAAGTGGATACAATATTCCAATCGTACTCTCCCTCGTCGTGTATCTTGCAATCGTATTCATTTTCTTTATGAAGCACTATATCTTCAGGTTTAAATTGATCAAGCGGCAAGTTGTCGCCGGCCTCATGAGCACTGAAATCGTATTTTCTCAATTCAAAGGATAATATACTCAGAAAAAGAGCACACAGATGACAGCCACCTGATGCGGATGCTCTTAAGTCAGACATCGTATCATAATGCGCAGAACTTAGGGCATGAAACCCTTTATTCTCCAAAAAAAACTCACAGACAGAGGACCAAGTATCAAAGAACACCCTACAGAATTTGCACAAGTCGGGATTCAAAACCTCGGTCGTGGTCGTGTTTATTTCGTTCTCACTCTCCATGCTATCTTTGGCCCCTTCAACTTTTTTGATCGGCCATCGTACGACAACAGAGTCATTACGTTCTGAAGCAATTCCTGAAGAATCTGGATGCCAATCTTCCGAGCTTTCTTCTTCTTCACTCTCTTCATGTTCCCCTAAGAGAGCCTCATCATGAAGTTTATCCACATCCAAATTGCTGCCAGAACTGACATTGTGGTCACCCGAGTCATCCAAAACATCTGTTTCAGCAGCATTTTCGTGTCCCTCGGTCCCACGAGATGCCTTTTCTCTCCCCTCATCAGTACAAATTTTGATATCAAAATCGTGGCCAGAATCGTGGCCCGAATCGTTCGTTGCATGGTCATCGTTTGAACCTTTATCAATCTTCGGATCTCCATTTGTATCGGCGTCGTCAATCTCCACAAGAACTTCATCATTTCCTCGCTCTTGAGCTTCACAAACACCACCCACTTCTACATCATCCGTCCCAGCAGCATCCGACGGCAATCTTCCCATTGCATCAGACTCCATCGCTCCCAGTTCCAACCCTAATTCTCTCAAATCCGCAATTTCATCATTAGCACCATCAACTCCTGATCTCTTTTCCGCCAAAGACATAATTCACAAAAGATGTATTATGAACGCAACAAAGCAAGTAAGTAGGTAGGCTGAAAAGGTGGGGTAAACGCGACGTTCAAAGATCCATCGATATCTCGCATGCACGCTTACGTACCTATCCAGTCCAGTACCTACCTATTTAAGCAGTCACGTTACAATTCATGTGACCAGCCATATCTCCTCGTACTCGTGATTGCAATTCTGCAGGGCATCTCAATCCCTATGATATCTACCAGAGAACTGCAGCATATGGAGTATAGAGATAACCAGCTCTTTCTCTCCTACTCGTAACCACAATCCCAAAGCCTCAATTTCTAAGAAACACACACTCAAAGCTGCATACTCATGCACGACCAACCAATCACACTCCAATCCCCGATCTTCAGAGCTGAAATAAGAACCAGAGAATAGAGAATCCCACCTACCCACCCACAAATACACATTCAACTCCTTCATACCCTACCCTCCCAACCCAGCTCGCCATCCTAAATCCCTACGAGAGAATCGAGACACACTCAAAGCTCCATCGCATGACCCATCATCAACAGCGATACCCCAATGCAAAGTCCACACCTCCATGATTCGAAGCCTCATACACACACACCTAGTATCCTACATACGCATAGCACATCCCCCTACAACACTTCCTTCCAATTCCAACCCGAGCCCTCAACCCCCCAATCCGTGGTCCAAACATGCAATCCATGCACAACATGCTCTTTGAACGTTGAAGATCCCTCCAAAGACCCAAAGACCCACCTACCTACCTAATGCACAACACTACTCGGTAGTTTCCCCTTTGCACCAATTAAAAAATCCACACCATACGTGCAATTAACCAATCTCAATCCCAATCTCTCCGAATCTGTCCGTCTCTCTTCCCCCCCTCCTCTCTCCCTTGGAAAAACTCCACCTTCATCATCCTCAACTCTATTCATATTCATAAGCACTTTCCCAATTCCCTAACCCCCTCCCCCCATTCCACTCAACGTCTAGATTCTTTTTGTTTCTAGAATTCACATAATGCGTGCGTGTAATCTTTCAATTAGCTTACTCCAACTACAATTTCCAGAGTATGTACTAACATTTTCCTCCTGCACGTTAACGGTCTACTGAGAAAAGGTTTCTCTCTCCTATTTTTCCATCTCGATTTCCGTATTTTCATGTTGATAAACCAATTGGTTACAGTTGCAATCACTTTGTACCTACATATACCACTTCCCTCTCTCAACACATCCCATCTAGTCTCCACTCTCCAATCCCCGTCTCCAATTCCCCATCTCCAACCTCCAAGCTAAAAAGCACATAAACACCTAAGTGACCTAAATACCCGACTAGAATAAAGTAGCACCATAAATAGGCAGTCATCATCAAACCCCCACCTCAGACTTTCTCAAGTCTCAGCCTGTGTCTCCCAAAGCCCCACCCTACCTACGCCTCATAGATCTTAAAAGGATGTATCAAATGAAATACCCCAATCCCCAAAGTTGTCACGTCACTATTTACCAAGCAACCGGGTTTCGAGCACCCGCTTCCGTTTTCCGTCATGTGAAACATATACATACTTCTTTCTTGTATCTTATCCGCAGGTTCCGATGGATCACATGCAGGGCGCCGATGTGGCTTCATGAGTTCGCCTCATTTATTTCTATTTCTCGGACCCTGGGATTTGTGATTTGTGACTTGCAACTTGAGCCCGAGTTTAGAAGCAAAGATTTGAGGAAAAGGAAAGAGAGGAAGAAAGCAATTGGCAGGATAGACAATATGTATATGATAGGGGTTTAGGTCTGGGCATTGAAGCATTTGATATTTACCCAGACGAACGAAAAGGGCTCCAAGCCAAAAAGAACAAGATCAACCGTAACACAGCGGAAGCAAATATAGAAACAATGTCACACACAAAAAATCGATACTTGGAAACATCAATCATCATGTGACATTGTATCACCCCGATAACTCTGACAGAGGGTAACACGAAAAGCAAAAAAGGGATGAAAAAAGATCAAAGTACATGGTTGATATGCCGGTAGCCATTGACATCCCATCTTTGTGTTACGGAACACGACCTTTACACCGGTGGGTAGGTATTCCGCTCTTAGCCGACTAGCTGGATGGGATTTGGACATGTTTAAGGGATGAGATGGAATGTGAAAATAAATCGGGGCTGAATATACGGGGATGAAGCGGAACTTATCTTCATCATCGAAATCTATTCATCTGGAACTGTTTGAAGAGAAGTTTGCGATCAAAGTGGAAAAGAAAGGAGCGGTGGAAGAGATCGAAGCAACAGAAGATCTAGAATCAGCCACGGGGGCTGATATCTGACCTGAATGTGCCTAGAAAATGCATGGAAGTGCATTTCCCCATCACATTTTGAAATTCCCATGTCGATATTAATGAGATTGATCGTAATAGGAAATCATGAGAGGATGGGATGGTCAAACTAGGGACTCCAATTGTGGGTGAAATGAAAACGAACATTATCTGATGTCGTCAACCAAATTCCGAACAGTGCGAAAAGAAAAGGAAATTATTAGCATAAATTTTTTCACATTTCGTATTGGGCACAAACCTACCCCCGGGGCCTACCTACCCAGATTCCCATCCGATTTGTACAATACCTTTATGCAAGATTATCAGAATAAATGCAGCCAAAGTAACCCCTGAATGGGTAGAGTGACATTCGAGAGCTCTCGCCTGCCGCCATCCTACACCAGGGCGAGACCAGGGATACGATTCCCTGTATTTTGTGGAGGAAGGATTGGGATTTGAGTGGTACGCGAGATGTTTCGTTATGCAAGTGACCGTTTGTAGATATCTAGGTGTCTGCAATCGATCAATGAGTGTAAGCGCAGAGTTGTGATGATTTGAAACAGATAATCCCATTGATTATTTGAGATTCTCATACCTCGAAATCAAATATTTCTTTCCATTTGTATCATCGTGAAATGGCGATGAAAGGGAATGGAACGCAAGAGTATATGTCGTCCGTATCTGGAAAATACCCATTTAACGGTCTTGCAGTGACAGATTTTCGGGTTTCCTTGGTGTTACTGCTACTGCTGCACCTAGAGCGAAATGTTCTAGGCGTTGAGACTAGTTGACTAAGGTAAGGCAAAGTCAGGTACGTACTCCCTACGTTTCCATCCGTCTTTCGGGATCAGAGACTTGGTTTGAAGTAGTTTATGCCACGCAATACCGGACTCATTTGGGATGCATTTCGCGTATGTATGTTACGCATTTGAAGGAAGGTTAATGGAGAAAAGTAGAAACGTTGGAAGATTGGAAGGCTGGAAGACTGGAAGACTGGAACACGAGAACGTTGAATTGAATGAATGTGGTATTAATTTGGGGGATTTTCATCGCCACCTCGGGTTCATGGTCTGTTTGTACTGATGTACTGTTGTACCGTTGTACTGCTGCACTAGAAGTCCTATAATTGACATGTGGCGGATGAATCTATTGAATGGATGAGTAGATGAATGGACGGACTGATGAATGGGATGGATGGGATGGATGAATGGATGAATGGATGCGTGGATGGATGGATGGATGAGTAGGTCGTAGTGCTGAGTATATTGGGAGGAAGCAGCACTAGTACTAGTCCCCGTAGAATGAGATATTGATTCGTATGAACCATCATTTTGATTAGTTTGACTTGAATATTATACACAAAGCAAGATAAATGGAAACGCTATAAAGTATATAAAAGATAAATCGTGGCATGTCATTGGATGTGGCGATATATATACCTATAGGATGAATATATAGTATGAATATATAGTAGTCCGAAGACCAGCTGAATCAAGTAAAGAACCGTTTCTCACACCATCCCCAAGATTTTGTGTGCCTGGTCTAGCAAAGTCACGAAAGTGTAAAAGAAAGTGTTCGCCGTTCACGCCATTCATCATTTGGGACAAGTGGGAGCACTGGTGGAGGAAGATCGACAAAACGCTATTTACTAGGTTGATAAACACTTTATCTTATTTGATCCCTTCTTTCCATCCTTCAGATCCTTAGGGGTTTGGAGATGAGGTTTTGATTGATGAGAGGGAGGAAAGGATTGATTGGATGAATGTTGTTGTGAGCGAAGGAAAAGATATTATAGAAATGAATATATACATACCATACCGACATACCTAGTAGGTACTCCCTTGGGTATTATCATAGCAGATGGATCGACGACGTACCGAGGTAGATAATCCACCGTCTGGTACTTGGGCATCTGTATTCAATATCTATCTATCATTTCAATACCTACGTCGTACTTATTACTCACTTCAATTCAAGTAAATTGGGATTGTCCACGATCTCTATCTTCATCATCATACCTGGATCAGAGATGATAGTAGAAGTATCACATTGCTTCATTTAAACTTTGGAAAATCCATTTGCTTTTTCTTTAGTTTCCCTGGAGAAGATCATTCGCTAGGCAATCTATTCCCTTGGTTCACGATAAGGAATATCATTTGGAGTGACACGGCGGCGCTTTTATTGGGATTTGCTTTGAATGTGCCAAAGGGACTAGGGAGGTTCCTACAGAGATGGAGGAGAGAAGAGGAGAGAGGAGAGGAGAGAGAGAGAGGAGAGGAGAGAGAGAGAAGAGAGTGGAGAGAAGAGCAAGCAGAGGAGAGAGGAAAGAAAGGGATAAATAAGAAGAAAAAAGGGGTAGAGAGAAGACAGAGGGGCTGGAGGGGCAGAGAGGAGAGGAGAGAGAGAGGAGAGGAGAGAGGAGAGAGGAGAGAGGAGAGAGGAGAGAGAGGACAGAAAGAGAGAAAGAGCAAAAGAGAAAAAGAGAGAAGTCCGATATAGAAAGTGGTGAATATTATTACTAGAAAAGGTTAGGTACCTAGGTACCTACCACTTTTACCCAGGTACCATTATCATTTCACACTTCTGTCCCCTTGTATACCTACCTACCTACCTACCTACCTTTGAACGCCCACTACCACCCACGCAATCAACCACATTCCCTTATTTTCCCCATATATCCATATATATCCATATACCCAAATATCCAAAATCCATATATCCAAATATCCATACACATCCATATCCATCCAAATATCTATATATCCCTCGTACTTTACATTTACCTACATAATATATAATCAACCAACCAACCAACCACTCGTTACCATCCCATAATCTATAATCTATCTTCGGAGAAATTACCTGGGTAGTACCTCTTCTCTGTCTATTGTCATTTTCATAGTCAGAGTCATAATCATTGTCATTATTGTTATTGTTATTGTTATGGTTATGGTCATTCTTTTATAATCTTCAATTCAATCCCATTCCATTCAACTCAACTCAACTCAACTCAACTCAACTCAATTCAATTCATCAATCCAGTCCAGCCCAATCCAATCCAATCCAATCCAGTCCATTTCATTTCAACCCCCATTCATCCCAAGTCAACCCCAATTCGATTTATAAGATCAATCGTGTAATCTTTTTTTATACACCACCACAACCCCCCAACCCATTTTATTAATTCATTCCCTTCATTCACACTTCACTTACCGGTAGTTGAATAATAATAATAATAATAATTGATTTCACTATCAACTTCATATCAATCAATACGAATTCCAATTCTACATCCACACATCCCATCCATATCTAGCAATCAAAAATTTCTTGGAATTGCCGGATTCCTTTCTCCCTTCTTCTTCTTCTTCTTCCTCTTCTTCTGCTTCCTCCTCTTCTTCTCCTCCTTCTTTTCTCCATCCCCCCCCCAAACCTTCCTCACCCCATTCAAATCCTCCATCAATTTATTAACCGTTTACCTAAGGCGTTTGATTGAATGATCAATGGATTGATTTGATTTGATTTGATTAAACAACAGTGGAGCTCAAGGGGAAAGTTTAAGTACTTCATACCTAGCTTCATCACCCACCGTCCACCGTATTCCAAAGGGTCTGATCTGCAAATCTTCCTTTCTAGCATCAACCTTGGTTCGTCTTTCACTGCCTCTCAGATAGTCACACCAAGACCTCCAGGAAAAGAGAGCTTGTTGTTCATTAAATAGTCGGGAAAGCGTATATTCCTGTGCCCTTGTGTCCGAGATTACAAGGAGCGTCTCTCACTTTATCCACGAAACGCCGGATCATCCCTCCCTTCCTCCCTCTTCTCCAGTCGAATAACTTATTACTCCTGAAGTTCGCGGTAATAGCGTCCACCATATACACTCCTTCGATTCGATGTCATACTGAAAGGAATTTCAGTTACCTATCACTGGCAGATCTGCCAATACAATCCTTCATATTCAACAATTTCAGTATATCTGCGCTCCAATAAATATTCATTCGCCATGGATAATAATAATTCAACTTCGGCTCCTCTCGCAGATTACTTTTGGATCGCGGGGATTGATTCTCTACAATATGGGCCCGAGGTTTTCCCTTCGAATCCAAGAGATAGATCAAGCAACATCATACAAGCGCCTCCCTCTCCGCAAGTCGATGCTACAATAGAAGAAAGTCCCGAAGGTGAAAACTCTCCTCCTCCAAATAACAATCGAGCTTCTGCACGACATTCCCGCAATAGCTCATGGAATCGTCTCAGCAAACAATCCTCGCACGAATCGCGAAGCTCAATATCCACTCTCGATGAGCTTGAAGGAACTGCGAGTAATCGAAGTAGTATGACCATTAAAGCTGGTGAAATTGGTCACATTAATGGCAACGGAAACAGCACCGGCAATGGCAATGCAAATGGCACTGCACATGGCACAAAGACCGAGGGCGGAGGAATATTTGGAAACTTCGACTTCGATACGGCGCTACTGAAGTTTGCGAGTGAGCGGGAGAATTTCCTGGATGACTTGAGTTTTAGTGCTGGGGCAACACAACCTGCGCCTCCCATGACAAATCCGAGAGCTTCGAGATTAAGAGTGGAAGATGCAGAAAATATACATAGGAGGAGTCCGACTTTAAGGAGCGTGGGTGGAAGTATAAGGAGAAGAATTAGTTTCAGAGATCTGAATAGTGTAAAGAGACAGCCTTCCATGGCTGGTAGAAGTAGTAAGTCTGACAATCTGCGTCCCGGTGCGGCACATATATTACATGCATTGCATACACCCAAGATGATTTTAACCGCAGCCCTCTCACATCTTTGAATACTCATGCTGACCATTACAACAGTGTCAGTTCGCACTTCGAGGCGCCTTAGCAATTACAATTCCGTCATCCCGCCCCCAGAGCCCCTAAATCTGGATCCTGACATGCACCCTTTAAAACGACGTTTTGAACCCGTTTTACTCGATAGATACCCACCTAAACACGCGACGGAGGAATTACCGAGGAGAGGTAAATTTCCCGATTATGTCCCTATGTTTGCATTTCCAAATGATATCAATATTGTTTCTTCGGACGAACGACCGCGATCAACCTGGCATGGATTTGCTATGACCTCAGATGACAATTCCAAAATATATGGAATTACTGTAATTGTCTGGAAGCCATTGGATCAAGAAGCGGCCGGAAATGTGGAACGAAGATGTGAGGCTTGGAGACAAAGCCATATGACAAACGAGGAACGAGAACTTGCTGCAAGTCTGGGAGAACGACTGGCTGCAGAACGTGCACACCTTTCACAGTTGCTAGCAAAATTGCCCAGTGTTGTATCTGGCTCAGCCGCTAGAGAACAGTTGGAGGAACAGATTAGCGCAGTGGAGGAAAAAATCACTTTGATGACTGATATGTTGAGGCCCGTCAGACACGGCGCAGCAGCTAAAATTGAAGGATTGACTGATGGCGAGACGGGGCTTTGGATACCCAGGGCATATGGAATCCTTGGCAGAGATGGAAGTATGACAAGCTTCTGGAAGGAATGGCTGAAGGCTGTTGTGGTACCAATGACGGATGGTGGAATCCTCCGAGTTCCTGCAAGTTCGCCAAAAATCGGTAGATGGCAACCCCTGGAGAGATATGTCGTCAACCTGTGTACCGAAGCACTGAGCCCGATATCTTCGAAAACTCAAATTGAAATTGCAGTGCGAGAACTACGACTCTTTGCGCGAAAAGAAGCACCAAATGAATTGCCAGATTCACGAAATACGGATATTTATGCACTATTCAGGGCTCTGAGTATACCCAATATTGTTGCTCTGGTGGAATTTATGTTGTCGGAATCTAGGATCATTTTACTGTCATCCCACACAGCTATGTTACATCTTGCTAGTAAAGCTTTGGTCAGTCTCCTGTACCCACTCAAATGGGCAAGCATCTTTATTCCAGTTCTGCCAGCTAGATTGATTTCTGCGCTGGAAGCACCTTGTCCTTATATTGTTGGAATTGAAAGGAGATATGATAATATAGAGCTTCCGGAGGATGATTATGTTTTCGTGGATTTGGATCAAGATACCGTTGAGTCGACTGCTCCACCGGTTTCACTACCACGACAACAGCGTCGAAAGCTTGTGTCCCTCTTGCAGCTGGCAGCTCCTCATCACAATAGATGCGGTGTGGAGGTAGCACCGCCACCTTATGCTGTTGAAACCTTTCCTTACGATGCATTTTCGTCGGAGAACGAATCAGTCTTCACACAGAATGCACCACCTGGGACTTTGGGTAAGTACGTTAGTCAGAACTCGACAACATTCGGAGAACCAGATCCACAAAAGATGAAGAGACCTTTGGTTTTCAATGCATTCTTGCAGTCGAAGAATGACCACACTCGTGTTGAGCGTCCATCGACTAGCGTGTCAAGTAAAACCAGTCCACCAACATCTTTATCACCTGTATCTGGTCACTGTCCACCAATGCCTACAACTCCTATCTCTCGAAACGATTCTGGGTTTGCTCTGACGGCTACTTTAAGAGAGAAGAGATCTGGTCACTTCGATACAAACTCGAGACGTAGTTCCTCATTTGGTCTAGAGCGACAGCCGACACTTCGTAGACCCAGTGCACCATTTGTCAATGGTCATTCAGCTAGTCTTTCCACTTCTGCTGTTTCCATTGGCGATAGCAACTCTAGTTATGGTTATGCACCATCTGCTTATGCACCATCCGCCTATGCGGCCTCAACTATCGCTGCTTCAACAATCATGCCTAACATGCTCATGCAACCAGTTCTTAATACGGAGACAACAATATGGGTAGAAGGACATTGCTTTGTTTATAATGCCAACGACATGGGATCTGTGTGCTCCATATGTGATGAGAGGGCAGAGGACGATGGCATGTACACATGTAATGCTTGTAACACGGTATCACATGGCCGTTGTTTAGGTTGGTGTTCACTTGTCTGTCCAGCCGCCTTCCATGCAGATCGTGTACGTGCCGCTTTCGTTCGATGTTTCGCGAATTTGTTCTACACCTACAGAAAACATCTTGGTCGGCCATCGAAAGAACAAAAGTCATCTGGACAATTGTATGGTTTTGATTTAGCTGCATTCAAAAAGAGTCTCCCAAGTGATCAACAAGAATATATTGTAATGTTGGAGCAGACACAAGGTAATTTATTCCATGGTTAATATTGTGAAGTATACTAACGTTAAGATAGCATTCAATGAATTCATTCATGAACGGGAAACTAAGCAATCAAACGATCGGGATATTCAGTTATTCGACTCGATCATTCAAGCGAAGAAGTCTAGAGGACGCGCAGCATTCTTCTCTTCGAAAGCTTCACTTCGACCCAGTTTCCTCGAGGATACATCAGATCACTTATGGCGCTCCGCATTAGTTCCAGTACCTAGAGATGCTAAATTTCCTGGTGATTACAAGACGATTGTCTCTAGAATTCCAGCACAATTGGATATTGGATTGATGAAAGAGCCACGCAGTGTTGCAGGAGTGCCACGTATGGACATGCCAGGAAAAAGGGTAGGCCGTAAAGCAGTTCCGAGCATGCTTGGTGGAAGAGGAATTTGAGTATGAATAAATGGAAAGAATGGTTGCATACGAGAAAGATATGAGACGAGGCCGATGGATCCGAAATTACGATTGAAAGATTACAGAGAAATACACGCCCGATTATAATTCAAAGGAAAGAATACGAAAGAAAAAGAAAGAGGAGAAGAAAGCGAGTCGATAATAAATTTCAATGCAAGATGCGAGCGAGATGTGTAAGATATCCAAGCGAGGAGTTTAAAAGATTTTTTGATGTTTTGTTGTTGATTCTCTTCACAAGTCCATGGAGCGAGAGCCTAGTGGCGAAATGCATAGGGTGGGTAGGAATGGGTGGATGGATGGATATCTGTGTGGTGTAAATAGGTGTTGAGTGGAAAGCAAACTTTTTGTTTTAATTGATTTTTGGGGGCGAAGTGGGTAGATTGTCCGGAGGGACGAGAGATGGGAATTAATATTTGGGGAGAAGCTGGGGAAAATAGAGGGGCAAGAGGGGAGGAGGAAAGTCGAGCTAATGTGTTGGATTGTGAATTGGACTCAATGGCTGGATGGTTGAACGTCGTGTTGGGATATGATTTGATTCTGAGTGGTTCATTGGTTGATTGAATTGTATTTTGCCAGCTTGAATTTTGCTTTCGAGAGCTTGCTCAATGCATAGATACTCATGCGTAGAGGCAGGGGAGGGGAGAACAGAAAAACATGGCGGATGATGAGATGTGAGGTTGGGTGATTAATGATGATGATGATAAGGTGTGGCGGATGAAGGGAGCTGGAAAGGGGATTAGATGAGTTGAGACGAGATGTGATGAGGGGTATGGATGGGATGGTGAAGCGAGAGATGGAGGAGAAAATGTACAGAGATACAGTTACACAGAGAGAGATCATAATAGCGATACAGCAATACATCGAGATGCCAAGAAAGCAAGAAAGTATCAATTCAATTTTCAATGCGTACATACATGCATACATATATACATATATGACTTGAAGTGAAAGGTAATGCAATCAATGCACAAGTGTAATATTCGTGATGTTTTGAGATTTCATATAAAAATCCATCACCTACTCAGGTACACCTAGGCATGTAGGTATGTATCATATTCCAATTCACCAACCCCTATTATACTATACATACATATACGACAAGTACAGAATCTAAACATCACACATCACACATCACACATCCCACATGAAATATGAAATTTACAAAGATCAAAAAAGAAAAATTCGGGAATTCTTGTATTCTTGTATTTTTATTCTCGTCCTGAGATTGAGTGGGTAGGTGGGTGGGTAGGTAGGTAGGTAGGTAGATAGATAATTACAAAGGGTCTTTCTTTCTTTCTTTCCTCTCTTCTTCCCTTTCGTTTCTTCATCCTCTCTTCTTCCCTTTCGTTTCTTCATCCTCTCTTTCTTCTTTCTTCTTCTTGTTGAGAAGAGAGAGGATAGAGGATAGGTTTTAGAAGGAAGGTAGGTAGGTAGGTAGGTAGGTAGGTGGGTAGGTAGGTGAGTAGGTATTATTCCCTCCCCTTTCACATATCATATCATATCATATCATATCATACCGCAAAGATCCTTCTCTCTTTCTCTCCTCTCCTCTCCTCTCCTCTCTTTCTTTCCTTCTTTCCTTCCTTCCTTCCTTCTCGAATCTATCCTTCCTTCTCGTATCCTCCACACCCGCCAGATACCCCCCCCCCCTTCTCTCCCTCTCCCTCCACCAACTCTACCGACGCAAAAGTCCCCAATGTAAATGAAAAGGGCCAAAAAGCATAGATACTCCATTCACCATACCTGGAAGCATTTTTATTCGAGAAAAGAAAAACCAAAAAGGAAAAGAAAAAAAATCCATACTCCACTCCGATGAAATATTCGTAATACGGAATACGAAATTCGGTATTCAGAATTCTGGACTCGATTCACAAAACCCGTAGGAAAGCGGAAAACGGAAAAGGAAACGCATCCATCGTCTTACACACCCAGCAATCGAATTAAAATGTAACGAGGGGATCGTCTCATCTCATCTCTTATCTTCACTCCTCTTTCGACTCCCAAAGCTAGAAGCTGAAAGCTGAAAGCTGCCACTGAAGAGAGTGTCCCATTTCTGTCCATTTCCAAACACCACCTATGTTTCCACAGAGTATTCGCGTAATGAAATGAGTACGATGAAACGAGTCTACAAATACAAACTTTGCGCCGCAACAATATCTCTCCTAATTTTCTTAAGCGACTCGTCGAATTTATTCGAAATGTCATCTGAGCCCATGACTTTTCCTGCTTGAGCCATTTGTCGGAGGAGTTCTTCAAGTCGACGGAAGAGTCGGATCAGAGATCCTTCGTAGACGTCGGTCATTTTACTATTGTGGTGTGTTAGTACAATTTTATCTCATCTCATCTCACATGAGGATCCTCAAGGAGGCTAGACTCAAGAAAAACTTACCAGATTTCCGCAAAACTCTTCCCTTGTGCCCAAACGTAAACAACTTCCATTAGCTGCCACTTGAAACTAGTCACGTATTCTTCCTCATTCATCTTTAATTTACTCTCCGCGGTAACCTTGGCGACGATCCTAGCTTGAGCTTGAATTTCTCTGTATTTAGCAGCCAATTCCTCTTTGAGTGGAGGACAATTACTCTTTTCTTCAAAGATGAAAACCGACAGAACGGCTGCGCACATTTCCGGAGTCAAATCGTTGAAATAACCATTGAAAAGGAGTTCAGAAAGAAGAAGTTCATGACCATCGCCTGTGGATGAGATTTCACATGCAACACGAGCCTTTAGTTCGACGACTTCTTGTTCGTTGATGAAACCGAGACGACGTAGAACACGTTTGCGTGACTTAAGCTCATCGAGTTGCATGATGCTCAATGCGGAAGCAATAGCCTTGCGCTTCTCTTTGATTTGTTTGGTAAGTTCGAGTTTGCCAGCGTATTGATTATAGAGATCTGGAAGACGGGGCGAGTTGTGGAGCGGGTTGGAGAGTAGACGAGATTCAAGAACTTCAATCTTGCGAAGAAGTCTCTTGAAGGAATCATCTGTAATGCCCATATTCTCGATTGGGTCAAGCACTGCGATACCATCTGGGAAACGACGTTTGACTTCCTCGAGAGATTTGCGTACTTGATTTCGTTCATTGGCTGGGTGAAGATCCTTTGGAAGGAATATACGGACATGTCCAATGGCTTCAACACATGATAAAAGTACAGGAACAATTTCCATCTTGCCTTTGTCGCCTGCACCAGGTGGTGTGATGCCTAACGGTAGGTCGTTTTGTGTTTGTGTAGTAACTGTACTGTCCGAAGAAACTTGCAGAAGAACATCAAGGATGTATGCTTGTTGTGGAGGAAATTCTTGAGCAGATCCTTTAGGAGGTCGTCTTGCTGTAAACTTCACAACTGCTCCCCAGCCGAAATCATGATCTTGATGTTTGATGTGAACAACCCGTCCTGGTTGCATGAATTGAAGACAGTAGTTGGGGTGATTAATAACATCACGCATGTCTTTGGTATATGTGGTAAGCTGTTGTCGAAGATCGAAGTAATCCTTAATTGTTGCTTCATCTGGAATTTGAACTTCATCCCTCGCAATTTGCAAGTCTTGAAGTTCCTTTTCGAGACCAGTAACACTTGAAGTGTTCTGGAATTGGTAGAAACAATGTTCCAACATAAATTCTGGTGAGATTCCTTCCAGACGCATCAAGTTAAGAATCATGTTATAACCAAGGTAGAAAGCTGAATTGAGCTTGTCCTGCTCTCCACGTACAATTGTCTTGGCACTCTCTGGCTCCATTTTGTCGTTGATCATCATAATGACAATACCTCTATCATCAAGACCACGACGACCGGCACGACCCGACATTTGCACGAACTCAGATGGCGTCAGGTATCGCATCTTCTCACCATCAAACTTCTCAACGCTAGTGAATACTACAGTCTTGGCAGGCATATTCAGACCAATGGAGAAAGTTTCTGTAGCAAAGAGAACCTTGATCAAATTCTCCTGGAACAAGATTTCGATGGTTTCCTTGAGAATAGGAAGAAGTCCAGAATGATGCACACCGATACCACGTCTCAACAATGGCAAGATGTGTTGAATTTGAGGTAGGGTCCTATCCTCTTCCGAGAGAGACTCGATTGCACTCTCGAAGACCTTTGAAACCATGTCTTTTTCGGATTGATCGTTAAAAGCCATGGAGCTCATCTGTAATGCATATGCCTCGCACTCTCTTTTACTGAAACTGAAAACAATAACAGGATTGTAATGCTTCAACATAATCATTCTGACAATCTTGTAAATATCAGAACCTTCCTTGTTGGCACCCTTATTGGTCTTCTTGTCTTTGCCACGTCCCTTCTGTTTCGCGTTGATGTCTGCTGGATCAGCGCCTTTCTTATCCTCTATTGTTGCCATGGCCTTTGAAAAGTTATCCTCCCTGAAGTTTCCCTTCTCATCAACAATCAAATGTATACCATCTGCACCAGCTGGGAAGAAGTAGTGTTGTAGAGGGGTAGGTCGGAAATCGGTGTAAACAATGTGACATGGCTGGTTGTGAGTTTTCGTGATCCATTCAGCAAATTGCATAGCATTGGGAATAGTCGCAGACAAAAAGACATATCTGACCTTGTCTGGTAACAAGATGATCGTTTCTTCCCAAACCACACCTCTGGATTTATCTCTCATATAATGAATTTCATCAAAGACGACCCATGCGACTTCACGCATAATCTCGGATCCTCGATACAACATAGATCTTAAAATCTCGGTTGTCATAACCAGACAAGTCGCGGTTGGGTTAATTGTAACATCTCCAGTCATTAAACCAACATCTCCAAAATCCGCAGTAAATTCTCGATATTTCTGATTACTCAAAGCTTTAATAGGACTGGTGTAAATGACTCTCTGGTTGTTTTTGAGACATTGCGCAATCGCATATTCTGCAGTAACAGTCTTTCCCGCACTGGTATGCGCCGAGACCAATACACTCTCATTTCTTTGAATTGATGCAATAGCAACTTTCTGGAAAGGATCCAACTCGAATGGCCAAGTTCTAGCGGGTTCGGCAGGAGCTTTGTGCTGCGATATTGGAATGTATTCGTAATCGGGAGGTAAAGAAACTTGATGTTGAATGTTGTGCTGTAAAACCAATGCTGTTTCTTCTGGGGCACCTTGTAATCCTGCTGAAGCAGCTAGCTCTCGCGATTGTGCTGTCTCGAATGTATCTGTAACTACCGGATCGGCTTCTGTGTCTTTTCTGCGTCGTTTAGCGTCCTTCTTTGCTTCTTTAATTTCGTCATCTTCTTCAATATCCTCTTCCTCTACATCTGCTTCTACCGCTGGCTCCTCGGAGTCTACCATCTCAGCATCCACATCTTGCGCATCGGCAATTGGCTTTACATCTCCATTCGCATTTCTCTTCTTGCTGCGATCTTTCTTGTCTTTCTTTGCCTTTTTAGGCCTGCTGGGAGCAGCTGTCTGGGGCTTATCGTCGAAGGCGTCAAATAAGTCGTCCATGATGAATGATATCCTACCACATTAACCAAGATGCAAAAGGCAATTGTGGTTTGTTGATCCTTTTTAAATGTATCAAAAAGTCCCTGGTACAAGGTGTGAAATAACAAAGATATTTTTTTATTATCGCTTTCCGCTCCGGGCACTATCTCAGATAACCTTGGCTTGGAAAGTCCCATTCTTTATTGAGCCTTAGGCATTAAAATTTCTGGTTTGATTGTCGGCTAGTGCCAAACCGAGCTTCAATCAAAATCATTCGATTGACTGTTTACCAAAAATACAAAGCAGAACTCAATTCTTCAAGGTAAGGCTGCGCTATCACAACAGCCGCAAGAGAAACGACTAACTGATCATGATAGATGTTGTCTAGAGCCGCCGTCCGCGCATCCTCCTCCACCTCAATGGTCGCCCGCCGTGGCTTCCACTCTACCCGTGCTCAAATGGGTTCTCCATACCATTACCCTGAGGGACCACGAAGCAACATTCCATTCAACCCAAACACAAAATTCTTTGCTTTAAGATACTGGGGATTCATGGCTCTTGGATTCGGTAAGTTAGGATAGCAGTCCGGCTGAGGGGCATGGAGGCTGAAGGGAACCACACTAATACTGGGTTTAGGTGCTCCATTCGGCATTGCAGTCTGGCAAACAAAGAAGAACCAATAGAGGGTTGTTAAGGTGTGCTTTGCATTGGGAGGACGGTTATGAATCGATTGGCATTTCAGAGCTAGAAGGGTGGGGGAACGATTGTGTATACAATACAACAGTTTTCACGGACATGACTTCATTCTCTATATTGGTTATGATGGCCTCCCAATGTACTAGTCTTTATCGCGGCTTCTTCAGGGCCCCATGTGACTCTCATGGTCAATTTATACCCATAGAACTAACTCGCGGCTCCTCAAAGATACTTTCTCACCCTAGATCAAGCGATTAGAAGACAGCCCTTCGTGTCTCTAATATAGCACCACCTTATTAGACATTCCCCTCAAGCCTGCACTTTGACCTTGGTATCAAAAGTATGCCTGTCTGCTGCTTTCAAAGCGAAACATCCCTTGAATTCCTCCTGGGCTCCCGATAGCTCTGTCATTGCACTCTTCATATGATCAGGATCAGCTCCATTCTGAACCTCAATACTAGCAGTCAAAATCCATTTGTCTTCGGCATCAAATGGCTCCAACAATTCGAAGGGAGGCAACCTGCTATTGACTTTAGGGCGTGAGCTACCATCAACTTCTTGGAACTCCGAAGGGATTTCAAAGTAGCGACTAAGTGTGAAAACTATATTATTATGAACAGTTCGGTGACTTTCTTGAATGATCTCCCGTGTGAATCTACTTGATGATTAATAACTGTAGATGATTGGTTGGTAGTAATTTCAACGTACCGGTGACTGCTTGCTTGAAGAAGCCTACATAATGACTTTTCATTGTCTATCGCAATGAACATTCTGCTATTCACGACAGCAGCATTGGCTGGATCTGGAAGATCGGTCCATCTCAATGTACCTGGCACCTCATCACATGGGAGAAGACCCCTAGTTGAAGTCAATAAGTATTTTGTCAAGAGATTGAAAGCCGTCTCCAAAGATCACATGGTGTGATATGCAATCAATGAAAAGTAGGTACTTACGGTTGACCTTCTCCACCATCAACCTCCTTTGCTGGCTGACCAAATTGATTTTTATCCACATCATATATCAGAGTCAGAACATAAGATTGACGAATCAGCTGCTCGTTGAGTGATTTCCACCAGAATTGTTTATTCGGCGGTTGGGCTTTCAGAAAGGAAGGGTCAAGACCTTTCAAATTGTTTCGACTTCGTGGACCTTCGAATACTAATCGTCGACGGATAAAGTGCTGGGGTATCATGCCACAATAGCCCTGGAGCACACGGAGAGAATGGGATACATCTTCGCTATCCACGGACGCCGAGAGGAATAATTCATGCATGGTGATTTACCCAGGAGGTAGGCTGACAAGGATTGAGTTTGGGGGAAGGCCGAAGTACGGAGGTGGAAAGAAAATGTTTGAACTTTGATGGGGAGGTGGGTGGAAGTTTTTGCTTATTGTGGTATAAATTTGGGTGAGTGAGATGAAAATGAGGGAGAGATTCCGTGGCCAAATTATACATTCGAAACGGGTTGTTGCAGTGGTGATGGGTAGGTAGAAATCAAATCAAGGGCCTTGTGCTCAGAATATGATGACCGTAAAGATGCGAATCTCAAGGAAAATAAATATACCCTTTTCCAGTCTTTAATTCACATCCCCCAGATATACACCAAGCTATTGAATTCTTTGATATGGAACGAATGCAAGCTAATGATTTCTTTGCTGTCACTCTATCAACATTTCCCCAGACCACCCCAGACTACTAGACCAGACAAGGCTTTCGAGGCTGACAGAGTAGGGAGGCGAGTAGGTGGGCAGATAGACGGAGGGGAACTCTTTGAACTTTACTCGCATTGATACTTGGGATGATAATAATTTACTTCAAAAGTATCTAGTAGTGATAGTAGTAATTGGTATACAATCAGTTAATGAACCAATGAAATGATTATTCTCTCGCTTATGTTCGGATTTGTCCCTGCATCACCCGAATTACTACTACTGTATGTGAGACTACTACTACTACTACCTACCTACTGTGTACACATCCAGAGGAAAAGAATCCTCGGTCGGTCCATCAGATCATCTAAAAATATCAGATGTTATTATTGTATCGGCAGTCCGTTGAAAATTCAAACCTTGGCTTATTATGACTTGACTTTGGACTGATTAGCTTGTGAAGAGCATCTCTACCGGACCAACCGACCAACCAACCAACCAAACAGCCATCAAGCAAGCCATCAAGCCGTTTAATCTATCAAATGTCACCTACCTGGGCGTGCATTAGAACAACTCTACGAAGGTTAGAAGGGTAATTAATATAAACCCCACTTTTACTAAAATCTTACTGTTTTTATAGATTTTGCTATTACTTTAAGCGATTCGAATAGATATTGAATTATTCCTTTCAAAATTCAGTTTTTAAAGCTTTTATTTGCTTTTTATTAATTCTAATAGTTTTTTAGTATTTAAAGTATTTGAAGTTTTTAATAGATTTTAAATAGATTCTAAATAGAATTTCGAATCAATATTCAATAAGAAATTAGTGATTTTGAATAAATCATAAATAAAATATGACTTTTACAATACTTTCATCATCTAGAGTTCACCATATAAATTTTCAACTAGCGACGTGATTCTATTGGTCCAAGGGCTAAAAGTGGGGACACATTTAGGTGCATTTTACATTACTTACCCATCCAACCTCCGTACTACTGCCCTACCTATTCGCAGGAGAAAAAACAGGCGGGATTCGACCACTTCTACAATATCTTTTATAATTCAATTATTTTTCTTCAATGTTATATAAAATGGAATTTCGAAATGTTATCTAAACAATAAGGAGCTAAAATCTCTTTTGATCTCTTTGAATTTATATAAATTATTTGTAAATGATTTATTATTCAATTAAACTAAAGGATTTTAATAAAGATTTAAATTGTCAAATTCCGCCTGTTTTTTCTCCTGCGAATAGCCTACTACTACCCTACTGTCTACATACCACACGCCCTTCCTACAAAGTGAAGCCTCTCTCGCCTCTTTCATATATAATATAACAAGGAATCTAGGGATAGAAATGATCAGACACTCATTTATCCCCTAGAGTACGGGTTTATAACGCTCAAAGTGGTCCGTGCACCGAATAAGAACATTTATAGCTTTATAAATAATATTATATATAAAGATTTCAATATTATATTTGAAGATTGAAATTTATTAGAAAAGTGATAATAAATATATCAATTATATCTTTATAGTTTTTAAATTGTAAAATAATAATTAAATGATTTTAAAAATATTATTATATTTTATTTTTTTTTAAATAAAAGCATTTGTAAATAATTTCTATATAATTTATATTTAAAAATATATATTAAATCAAAAACTCGATATTTATTAAAAATAAAAAGTATAAATAAAAGATTATATAAAACTTTAAAGAATATATTATTTATTTTTATCAAAATAGTAAGTATTGAATAATTATTATAGAAAAACGTATTAAAATAATAAGAATTCTCAAGATTCTGATGTTCTGATTGGTTAATAGATCCCTGTTAAGCGAGGGCGCCGTAAATACGCACTCTAGGGGATATACTTTGTATATACTTTGGATATATATCACATTCTTGACATTATATACCTAGTAGTACTTTTATACGGAGATTGGATAGATAAGTAATATAAAACCTACCAAAAACCGATCATACTTTTCTCCATATTTAGAGGCTTTAGCCAATCATATCGTTACGCTAGTTGAAAATTTATATAATAAACTCTAGGTAATGGAAGTATTGTAAAAGTTATATTTTATTTATAATTTATTCAAAATCACTAATTTCTTATTGAATTTTGATTTGAAATTCTATTTAGAATTTATTTAGAACTTATCAGAAGTTTTAAATATTTCGAATACTGAAAAACTATTAGAATTGATAAAAAGTAAGTAAAAGCTTTAAAGATTGAATTTTGAAGGGGAATAGTTCAATATCTATTCAAATCGCTTAAAGTAGTAATAGAATCTATAAAAACAGTAAGATTTTAGTAAAAGTAGGGTTTATATTAATTACCCTTCCAACCTCCGTACATTACGCCATTAACTAGCATGTGTCTGCAACCATCGTCAGCCAATAAGCAGGCAAGAATGGTTGTGCGATAAGGAAAAAGCAGATGATTGATAATTTGATATTGTCTGAGGAATTCGAAATGAATGCTTGGTGCTCCATCGGAAGTGGCCTTTATCAATGGCTAACCCCGCACCAACATAGACCTTTTTTTTTACAGTGGTATTCTATTAAAGACGGTTGGATTTTCTACTCTTCGGTGTCTGTTACAGTTTCCCCCTCTTGCAAAAGATCATTTATTCATTGTTGTTTCTTCAATTTGTTCAGAGAGAAAGAGAGATAATATATATATATATACACACACACACACAATCACTCAAACCATCCACAACTTCACATACCTAATCACCATATTTTCTTTTTAAATCAACCACCACCATTTCCATATCTGGTTACTAGCGGACGCCTATCTATCCCCCCCCATCCACTCATCCATCCGATTCCCGAATTCTCGTCCCACTTACCACACGCTACGAGTACACCATCCCCAAGACTAAAGCTTTCCATTTCCCAATCTCTTTTTCTTTTGACAACTTGACAACTCAATCTCCAGCAAGTCAAACAGTCAAACACAGAGGCCAACGACGATCCTGATTTCTTTCTCAAGGTCGCACATCTTCTCAGTATTTACAAACTCTCTTTGTGATTACTTCTTCAATCTTTCTCAACCATCAAGATGTTTGCGACCAAGGTTCTCCGTCAAGCTTCTGCTGCTGCTGCTCACGCTGAGCGCACTCCATTGATCAGGTTCATGGGCAAGAGATCAATTCCTTGTATGTATTCTAATTTGCAATCTGCTCGATGCTTCATTCTAACAGTTGAAATAGCTTCGGTTGATCACTCTGCACGACCACATCCAGCATCCCCAACCCACGAACTTCCAGCAGGATTCGCTGAGGCTCAAAAGTCTTCCTCCTCTTCCTTCTCTTCCTATAGACAAAATGCTCAACAACATGGTCCACTTGGTCGCAGCGCCAGAAGTGACGGTACAATCGGTTCTCTCTCCGGTAGAGCTTTAGGCTCCGTTGCTCCATCCAAGGGAGAATACTTCGATCGCAGTGAACTCCCTGCACGTTTCCAACGTACTCCAATTGATCTTGCCGAGATTGATGCCATTGAGACTGGTGGTGCTACAGTTGTTTGCTAGATTTGAAACTCAAAATTAAGGAAGAAGAAAATTATTTGTACATTTACGGCAGGCTACGGAAAAGTGATGGATCGAGGAAGAATATACCCACGAAAACAACGGATTTCATGAGGATTCTGTAATAAGATGGATGAATATCAATAAGCTATCTTTCAGGACAGAGTGGAATAAGCTCTGCGTCAGTGTTTGAGAGTTTGGGATGTACAAAAGGGCTGCAGTTGGGATCAGTGGCACGGAAAAGTTGCTTTTATGGGAGTCGGAGCATGTATCATCTTTCCTATTGGAATAATTCCGATCTTGATCTTTACTCTGGAGTATGGGTTTCTGGGAAGTTCTTTTTGAGGGTGGCTCTCTGAATTGTCATAAGCTGAGTTGAAGAAAGCAAGAATAACAAATAAATATTAAACCAAATAAATCAAAATACAATGATCACGTGCATAAATAATCATGATTCTAAACTACCTACACGACCACAATTCCTCGAGTTGACTTTCTCCATCTTGTGCTGTTCTCTTTTAGATGATGCACATTCATGACATCAAATGACGACCTGATTCCTGAAATACATACAAAAATATCCTTTTCAGAGTTCGAATGGCCACCACTCGCTAAGAATGATTCCTACCCATTACATCGCGTCATTCTCATACATCACCCATTTATCTACAAGCTATTGATGCTTACTTACATTCAAAATTGCCTTCTCCCCTGATAAACAGTCCCTCTTAATCAATCAAATCATCTGACCCCGGAGACCATGTCAGGATCAGAAGAAATCAAAGAGATAAACCAATCCGGTAAACTCATCGCTACATACATTCGCTCTCACACTACTGATACTTCTGGCACGAAATCTGACCGGATCGATGTCGATGTATGTGTTGTTTCTTTCTATCTGTATATGATGTGTGTCTTGATAGATGAGAGCATCTATTAGATTGATGAATATTGAAACTTGGAAATAGATACCAAAAGGTCCATCGACATGGGTTATGAGCTTGGTAGGGGCATTCATGCCGGTGGGATATCCGGATAGTGTGACGGAGGATTATACTGCGTGGGTTTTCTCTATCTTTTTTTTTTGGATTGGGATACTGTGAGGGGTCTGGAGAATGAAGAGACTAATGGATTTTATTGTAGGTATCAATTTTATGTAAGACACCTTAGCTGGGTGGAAGAATAGGGGGGAGGAAATGCTGATGAGAGAAGGATTCTATTCAGGCTTTTGCTAGTACGATTGCGGGGTTGTTGGCTAGTAGGGCTGTGCTTCAAGGTATGAATGAGGTGAAGGGTTCTTTTGTTTGGGGGTGGGGAGAGAGGGGTTCCTTTTGTTCTGGGCATCTGAAGAAGGAGTTTTTCTTGAACTCGTTGTTATAAGTTGTTGTAGAGTGTTGTCACAACTCCCTATCTAGACATTCCCTTATTCCAACATCACCACAAACCTTGATCTAAAAAACACTCCAAATCTAACCCATCCCAGGTCTCGGCGTAGGCGACTCCACCGCCTCAGCAACCCACGCCGTTCTCCTCTCCATCCTCCAAGAATCCGCAGGCCGTATCTCCACCATCCTCTTCGCGCACCGACTCGGCAGCGCTCTCGAGCCCGAGTGCAAAAAATATCGTCTCATGGCTGATATCTTCAACGATGCTGCTATGATTCTAGATTGCATCTCACCCGCTTTTCCCAAAATCCCCCGCGTGTTTTTACTCAGTGCGAGCAGTGTGTGTAAATCACTCTGTGGGGTTGCGGCGGGAAGTAGCAAGGCAAGTTTGAGTGCGCATTTTGCGAAGATGGGAAATTTGGCAGAGTTGAATGCGGTGGGTTTTCTTGCTTCTCGTGATAGATAGATAATGGATGGAATGGTACTAACAGGAAGATAGAAAGATGCAAGTCAGGAAACTCTCATATCCCTCCTGGGTATGCTCGTTGGAACATTTGTCGTTTCCAGGATTTCCTCTCAGGTAGCCACGTGGATTGCATTGCTCACTCTCCTCTCCATTCATCTCGGTACGAACTATATGGCCGTCCGATCCGTCACCATGCGTACCCTCAACAGACAACGAGCCAATCTCGTCATCTCATCTTTCCTCTCACACACAGGACACGAGAAGAACACAACTGGCCTCCCTTCCCCTCGAGAAATATCACTCCAAGAACGCATTTTCGAGCGCGACGGCGCAATCCGCAACATCCAAGGCGCAATCCTCGCTTACTGCAAAGTCGGCACGAGTCTCCAAGAACTACTCTCTTCAATCTCCACACCCACAGCTGCAGGAAATTATGCACAAAATGATCCAATCCTCACATCTCTCCTATCCATCTACAAATCTCAGGGTTACATAATGTGGTATTCCCCTTCTCGCCATACATTCCTCGTTCTTCTGAAAGAAGGAACATTACCGCAAGTTCAATTAGACGCGTGGTTCCACGCTATTTTCGCCGTCACTTTTAGGGAGGAGGAGAAGAAGAAGAAGAAGAAGATCCGGGATTCTGAGAATGAGAGGATGGATAATCAACATATTCTAAATTGGATGAAGCAATCGCTAGAGGAATCGGAGAAGTGGAGAGCGGAAATGAAGTTTTACGAGCGCTTGGAGAGGATAGGGTGGGATTTGAATACCCCGGCCATTGAGGTGACAGCGGGAACGAGATTGGTTGTTGGGGGTGGAGAGGAGAGGGGAGTGTAGGGGGTGGGAATGGTAAATTGACGGATCAAAATAAAGTCTTGGGTGGTACTGCGACGGTAAATATGAATTGTAATAAAAATGTGTCTTTATGCTAGCTAGATAGAGGGAAGTAGACTTCAAAACTTGGAAATTTCACTTCACTTCACTTCACTTCACTTCACCCAACCCAACCCAACCCAACCCATTAAAATTCAAGCCCGCATATGAAAAATAACCGCAGCATCTCTCTCGGAAATATCATTCTCATTCTCATTCTCCTTCTCATTCTACGCCCTTCATGTATACATTCAGTGTCAAATCACGCCAAAAAGAAGGAATACCTAGACAAAGTAGATTCTCCCATTAAATTTAGAGACAAAAGAGGAGAGAAAGGAGGGAGATGATTGTCAAATGCGAGGTTGATGAAGTTTGGATATTGGATGGGTAATTGAAAACTATCATACTCCGTTTCGTGTATTGGGTGCTGAGACTGTGGACACCCATTTTAGATGACGAGGTTTTATGTTCTTGATTTATTTGGTATGGATTTATTTGGTATGGATTTATTTGGTATGGATTTATTTGGTATGGATTTATTTGGTATGGATTTATTAGACTGTACATACATATATATTGTACAGCTCAACCGGAGCAGAGAGTATGTCCTTTGAGGTCAGATTCAAAGAGTACATCGGTATACAAACACCGTATACAAACACCGCAACACCTATAATTTACAATCCAATGCCTATCTTTCCATTTTATCCCTCTCAATTCGTTAATCGTACATCGTCTCCTCTCCATCTCAGCTTTCGATACCAAAGTCTCTAGGATGGCTCAGATGGAAGAAATAGGCATTCGAAAAGCTTCAGATGATATACACTCATCCGATGATGTTGGGCGCATGTCTCCTGTGTCCTGAAGCCATGGCAGAATATACGTTCTGGCCTGTGTTCCATCTGAAATTATATCGAACTTGAATCGGACCTTCTCCTAGACATCCATAAGATAGGTCTCATGAAAGTTGTCATGTCCGTCCATCTCCACTTACTACAAGCTGTGATCGTGGCGCATGATGCCGGGTTTTGATTACACTCTCAACCTCCCCATTCCCTCATCTTTCCAACGTAGAGCTCTAGTTAAATACCTTCCAAGCTCTCATCTTCCATCCTTCTAAGGTATTCAACTTTGGTCGAACATCCAGAAAGAAATTCAGCTTTCCACTTCCGTCGGGTGAAGCTTTGCCTGCGTAAAAGTCTATGATGTAATCAACTCTCTTGCCGCATCGATCAACAACCCAATCGTGACGGTCAAAGGGAGCGGTATATCCAAGAAGTGTATTGAATCGAGCTTTAGGCGAAAGGGTTTGCGAAAGTCCGAGGAAAGAATGAAGACGAGGTCCACCACATCTATTGAATTTATTAGTCCACATCTTGTCACAAAACTTCTCAAAGGACATACTTCTCGCTTCCCCATCCCGCCTCCCACTCTCTAATTTCTTTCCATGCCCTCTCATTCACAGCATTATGAATCGGCACAATAGTTTTCATATCTGCAGCGTCCGATTGATGACCTTTGCGTTTCATGGCTTCGAAAAACATTTTTTCACTAGGATAGATCCAATTCCCGGATGCAGAAACACCAGATTCAGATTCGGAATTCGCGGGATGAGAGGTTGAAGGAGATGAGGACGAGGGGGTATCATTTGGAGTAGGAGATGCGCGAGGAATCGTGGAGATTTCACGGTCGAGTCCTAGGCGGGGTGGAGAAGTTGCGGATTTGGGAGTTGATGGCGGTTGAGAGGGCGTAGATGATGCATTATCCCAGAAGAACAATCGGGAGAAGAAACTTGAAGGTGTATGTGTAGGAGGAGTGGTTTGATCAACGGTTGAAGAATCACAACTTGGACCTGGTTTTGATGGAGGGGTTGCGCCTGGGAAAGGTGGTTTGGTGGAATTGTTTTTTAGCCATGCTGCACGTGTTGCATGATCGACGGGACAGGCTTCTATGCCTTGAGTTGACTCGTCTTTGGACATCTTTGGTGGTTGTGTAGATTATGAGGATATACTCTACTTTGGCTCAAGTGAGGGAGGGGTGATTGTTAATGCAAATAAATTAAATTGGTCGAATTATCAAAATAATTATTTTGCCTTATCCGCCCGGTGACCGATCTCAACCCCACCTTGAATTTGCTCTGCTGATTGGTCAATCCTGGTACCTTGCTAACGGATTAACTTTATTGACCGCCCTTTGACATTTTGCAATCCGGAAGGGACTGGGGTTTGTTGTCAACAGGAAGTCTATTTCCTAAGAAGGGCACGATTGAAATATTGAAAATAAATACTTCTGGTGTATCCTTTCGAGAAAATCAAAAATAAATTCCAACTCTTCATATTTGATTCCAAAATCCCTTCAGAATGTCAGACACAAAGCTTTATCAAGCCAGTACAACGGCTCCAGTCAATATCGCAGTCGTCAAGTAAGTAAAGCTACCCCTCTCTCTTCCATTGTGCTTCTTTACTTCATGCATTGTCCACACTAAGAAACCTGCACTGACATATTCTCTCACCAACCAGATACTGGGGAAAACGCGATGCAAAACTAAACCTCCCAACCAACTCCTCCATCTCTGTAACCCTCTCTCAAAATGATCTCCGCACTCATACCACCGCTTCCTGCTCCCCCACCTTCACCGAAGATTCTCTCCTCCTCAATGGCCTTCCCCAAGATATCTCCAACGCCCGCACTCAAGCCTGTTTCCGCGAGCTTCGCTCTCTACGTTCCGCACTCGAGGATTCCGATGCCTCGCTCCCAAAACTCTCCTCTTACCCCTTGAGGATCATCTCGGAGAACAACTTCCCCACAGCTGCAGGTCTCGCTTCTTCCGCTGCTGGTTTCGCTGCTCTGGTTAGAGCTATCGCCAACTTGTATGAATTGCAATCTAGCCCTACCGAACTCTCGAGAATCGCAAGACAGGGAAGTGGCTCTGCTTGTCGTTCTTTGTTTGGAGGTTATGTGGCTTGGGAGATGGGTCAGAAGGAAGATGGATCTGATTCCGTTGCTGTCGAAGTAGCACCTGCTTCTCACTGGCCCGAAATGCGGGCTCTTATTCTCGTCGTTTCTGCCGAGAAGAAGGGGGTTTCCAGTACCTCTGGTATGCAAATTACAGTCGCGACATCGAAACTTTTCAAACAGAGAGCAGACAATGTGGTTCCAGAACACATGAAGGAAATGGAACGGGCAATCAAGGATAAAGACTTCGAGCGATTCGCAAAGGTTACTATGATGGATAGTAATAGTTTCCATGCAACATGTTTGGATACATTCCCACCCATTTTCTATTTGAATGACGTTAGTAGAGCAGCAATCAGAGCCGTGGAGGATATTAATAGTGCCGCTGGAACGACGGTTGCGGCATATACTTTTGATGCTGGTCCAAACGCTGTTATTTATTTCGAGGAGGAGAACCTTGGATTAGTAGCTGGTACATTGAAGACTGTCCTTGCAGGTGTGGACGGTTGGAATGGAAAGGACGTTGAGAGCAAGGCTCCAGAACATATTGATGAGAGAGCCCGGAAGGTACTCCAGGATGGTGTCAGTAGAGTAATTCTGACTGGTGTTGGTGGAGGACCCGAGAAGACTGAGAAGCATTTGAGCGCTTGAATTAGAGACGATTAGTTAATGTTGGAATCACGGAGAAAGGGCAAACATAAGAGTTAGCGAGTGCATTTGTAGATAATACCCTTGCAGTCAGTAAATACATTTGAAGCGCTATCACAAACACGCCTTTATATCTATCACCTCGTTGGATTTTGTAGAGAAGTGTACGAGTAGGAAAAGACTAATAGTGGTAGTGGTCAGACAAGAAGCTAGATCACAGCCACCTTTGCAAGCGAGGTCAGCATGACGCAATCCTATCCTCAGAAGTACTTCGATACCAACCCCAAAAAATAAAAATGGCACTCGCCAGCACCAACTGGACAATTATTCGAAAATACTACGGTAGATTTGACAATTGACTGGCGGCAAATCATCCCCTTAGGTGCGTTAAATGGGCTCCGTCGCTTAACATGGGCATATCAACCAATCAGATCATCAGAATTCCTTGATTTAATCTAATTTTCGAACTTAATCTTTAATATAAAAATCAATCAATATTATTTTTATATTGAAATTTCGAACATAATAATACATATTAATTTCCAATCTCATGGATTTTTTTAAATTTAAAAAAATCGAAAATGAAAGTCAAGATTCTATATTATAAATAGTGTGACTGAAAAACCATTAAAATAGCTATTCTATCCAATAAGGCTTTATCATTCAAGGTATATCGCACAGACCACCTTCGGAGCCCATTTGACGCACCTAAGGGGATAATACCGACATATTACTTTTCCAGAAATATACCATTTTATATCAAATCAGTCTTCATCATTCTGTTCGTAAACATCCAGCACAATTAAGACATCCAAATCAGTGCACATTCATTTTTGCAATTATGCTCATTAATACATGTGTGTAATTCTCCTATGAAAAGATTAATGGGTATCTAACGCGCACTATGCATACAAATCCTGAACAACAGATCCCGAACACCCCTCGGAAACAAGAATGGTACGAGATAGCTACTAACTATGAGGAAGACTTATGAGTCGATTCCTCAAGCTGGTTACTGAAGCCCTATGGAACCAATAAGCCAAGACCACAATTATACAAAACGCAGAGCCTAGGATCTACCAATTCCCTGCATCATACTCTGCACAGTTTTAAACTGCGAATTCTCCTCCTCCAACCGCGTATTCCTCGCTTGCAGCAGAGCAAGTTGATCAAGTAGACCCTTATCTCCATTCGACTGTTGCATGAGCTTAGACCGCAGATTAGCAGACACAGCTTGCTGTTCCTGCAATTGTCGTTGAAGATCACTCTCGGCGCTCTTCCGAGATACTGCGTCCTGTGCTCGATCATTGCGTTCCCTGATTATAGCTTCGTTCAATCCCCTGTATTTTGCTTTGAGAAGATCAAACTCTTTGACCTCTTGAAGTGCGGCCACGCCTTCTTGGCTCTTTCTCATCCTCGCGTCGTCTTTGAGCTTGGCGATTGTTGTTTCCAGAGTGCCAATCGTAGCCTTCAGAGGCTTGGTAGATTCCTCAACGGCGCGAGCAATCTCACTAGCTTTGGTATCGTCGATTTGAGCCTGGCTGACTCGAGAAGCACGTAGTATATCTCGTTCTTGTCGTGCTTCATCTCGATCTTTTTTGAGCTCAGCAGCTTTTGTAACAAAGCGTTCATGTGCTGCCTTGTGTCGAGAAAGTTTGTTGGTTGTTTCTGCACTATCGAGTTTGGTAATGTTGTGCGCATCTTGTTCGGCCTTTAATTCCCGCTCTAGTTTAGATATCTTTTCGTGTAGACGCTGTATCTTGGCAGACCACTCACTTCGGACCTTGTCTGGTTCTTTCACTGCTTTATCGAGTTTCTCTTTCGTCGCCGTTAATGCAGATTCTAGCTTGCTGTTCTCAGTTCTGAGTGCTTGTTCTCGATTGTCATGGACAACATATAGATGCTTCATCTCGATCTCCTTTTCAGCGATATTTCGTTCCTTAGCGGCGATTCTCTTGCCCAATGAGATTATCAAGTCATCCTTGGCTCTATCTTCAGCTTCTTCTTCTGACTTTTCATGTTCTTCGGAAGAGTCTTCAGCGTTTGTTTCAATGGCAGCTCTGATGTCCTTGATGGTAACTTTGCTTTTTAACACCTTCTCCTTCGTATCCTTTCTACCTAAAGCCAACTCAGTATGACCTAACGATATCAATCTGTCTTTCTCCTCCTGGCGCCATTGTTTCCTCTGTTCCGGGGTCTTTGTCACTAGAGGATACCCGTTCTCAAATCTCTTCGGCTCTTCCTGTCCTGCCTTGACTTGTGCTTCAATAGCCCGTTTTACCCATTCTGGTGGAACTATTTCGTTGTTTGCTCCATGATACTCGAAAGCTTTTGCAATATATCCGATCGAAGGGTATGATTTTGGGACCGGGGTGTCTCTCAAAATTATGAGGAGTGTTGCAGCCTCGTCGCTAGTAAATGTAACATCGGCGTTATTCTTTACGGCTAAGCATAGGCGCTGAAATTGGTATTGACAGACGGAATTATCAGGCTCAAATACAGCCACAACCATGCATTCTTTTTTAGTTGCGTTTCTCGGCATCCTCGCCTCGCGCTCTTTGGAGATCGGTAATGATAAACCTTGAGCAGTAAGAACACGTGCTTCCCTGCTGCTCAAAGTGACATCGACTTGCCAAAGCTTCGCATCATTGAGCCTTTCAATAATTGAAACTGAACATAGATACCACTCTTTCGCAAGCTCTTCTCTTCCTCCTGGAACAACAAAGCAGGGTTTTGAAGAAATCAAAAGTTCTTCTGCCAAATTTATGCCTACATTCTCGCTATAATCCTTAAACGGATCCCGTTGATAATCCAAGCAATGGGTGCCGTCCATATATCTTCTCTCAAAGATAAAGAACCACGTGAGTATGTCGTCCACGGGTACGTTCGAGTATGCTTTTAGGTACGACGTATCACGAAAAGATGTGTATTTCCAGGCTTCGACTTCACGTGGAGTCAAGAAAAGAGTCTGACCAGAGTTTGCAGCTTCAGAAGCCTTCTTTGCTATAGTAGTTCGGATGACTTCAGTGTCCTTAGCCATATTTTTTGGCCCCGGAGGAAACATTCGACAGCAGTTATCCAGCCAATTCGCCTCCATGATGGACAATGTCGTATGGGATTGCGTTATGAAAGCATCATGCACCTTTCTCGTGATGCTGCGTTTGATTTTCCTTTCAAATGCTGGAATAGCTAATTCTTCTTCAAAGTAATCATCACCCATGGTGAAGCTGGCAAATGGAAACTAGCAAGCAGCGAGATCGATAGTTGATGTTGGGTTTGAGTCTTCAGTGGAAGAAAATTATTATCTTTGAAGGGAAGGCTTTCAAATTAGTGAGCAAGAGTTATGCAATAAGTGACAATTGAGAGCGCTGTGTAAAAAGATGAGCTATCTGGAGATGCGCCAGAGAAGAAAGGCAATAAAATTCAGGGAACTGAAACAAATTGTAGAATAGTTGAAAAATCAATGAATTATGTTATCAAACAAGTTTGAAGGGAGGGTGAGAATTTGCAAAGTTGTGGAGAAAAAACTTGACAAATTGCAAAATATGAACACATTCAAACAAAAATAGATCGGGTTTCTCCGGGTCGGGTACTAGCCCTTTGATTGAAATGGCTGTATTGAATTCACTGTGGTCAGATTTTGCTAAGACTATCTTCTCAGGTTTCTAGGATCAGAGTGCAAAGTGAGTAGAAGGATGTTACCTGAGAAGTTGTGAAGCTATAAAGCTGTCTTGGTAACGTACGAACCAATAATTAATAAGTGTTTTTGTTGGCTTTGATGCAAAGTAACTAAAGGCAGGTCTTGAGAAGAGTTGCTGGTGAAGTCTTGATGTAGAAATTTCAAAGCAGTTTTTAAAATCTCAAGTATTGGAGAAATGTATAAGGGAAGTGAATTTGTGAGATTTACCTTGTTGCCAACAGAAAAGTAACCTCAAAGCACAAATGTTGAATCTCCCAAACCAAGTATCTTTGCACATCTCCGCACTTTCTCTCGCCCCTCCTGTTACCCCTCCCTTCATCAGCCCTGACCCTAGGTTTGAGGAACATTAACCAAGCTTTCTTTCCTTCAAATATTCGAAACGCTCTCAAGGTTCTTTCTGTATGTTCAAGATTTTTGAATTTCTGAATAGTTCTTAAAAATCGAATGGAGATTTATATGTTCAGAAAGTCAAGTGATGTGTGGAGAGAATCGTAGGACAGTGAGTTATGAAGATTAGAGTGAGAGTCATGGGAAGTTGAGGAGAGTGGGGATAATTTTTATGCTTGCGATCAGTTCAGAGAACTTGATAGATAATGACAGAAGATTCAGGCTGAGTGTTGTCAGAAACTTAGAACTTCTAGACCGAAGAGAGCAAACTTCAATGTTTTGTGAAACGGGATAGAAGCAATAGATGGATACGCGTCAGTATCACCAGACTGTATCATAATGCAGAGTTTAAGGCAAGTTCTGTCCTCTTTCTACTTTGTCAAGGATGCATCGTAACCTCTTTTATCTCAAGTTTACGAGAAACTTAACTGCTTTAATGGACAATCATTGAGTCTACTGTTATACAAAAAATTACTGTCAGTCAATGAATATTCTACCATATAAAGTATGGGTTTCTACTTCATAAACCTCGGAGCATTGTAAAGAAGACCAAAAGCAGTTTCTGGCATCCTTTTTTTCTCTTGAGGGACACATAAGAGAAATGCGGCAATCTTTATTCGTCTTGAAAGCTCCCATAATACAGACAATACATGGACAGCATGATTAGAAAAAAAAAACAATAACAACAGAGAGAAACCACAACAATAATAGCAATGGCAATGACAATGAAACTCGACACGGCAATGGTCGAACATTAAATTTCGTGAATTCTATGCATTCATGGTATCAATTATTCTCGTTAACTTTTATCTGCATGGAGTTTCTATTACAAAAGAATTGCAACCCACAAATTTGGCATTGACACTAACAATGCACTGGATGATTGTATGGCGCAAAATATTGTGAACAGCTCGATTCAGATCACTTCAACATTTCGACCTTTTACCTTTAACCAAGAATGCTTTTGAGCACCTTGATTTGCTCCTCAACGCTTGACTTGCTGGTTCCGCCAGCCGCTTGGCGCGCTTCTACACTCTTCTCATAGTCAAAGCATTCAGAAACATCCTCCTTGAAACGGCTATCAATACTCTTCAGTTGATCATATGTCAATTGGTCCATTGGAATCTTAGTCTTCTCGGAGTATGCGACGACTTGTCCAGAGATGTGGTGCTATTTTCAAAATTAGCACTTGTTTGATCATACCTTAGAAGAATGAAAGGCCACTTACAGTCTCCCGGAATGGTACACCTGCTCGTACTAAATAATCTGCTAAGTCGGTGGCCTAAGAATGATCCCCTTGATTAGCGAGAGCACAACCAAAATACGCTAGGCTCGACCGCATTTCAACGAATTATATTCTTGAATTGACTTACGAGCATGAATGGGTCTAGCGAAGCCTTCATCTTCTCTGGATTGATAGTCAACGTGCTGAGAACGCCGGTTGCAATCTGGATACTGTCTCCAACTGTCTTAATGTGATCCAACATTGGCTCCACACTCTCTTGGAGATCCTTGTTGTAAGTACTTGGAAGACCCTAATATGATCGATCAGTATATTGTCATATTGCCAAATGACAGTGGAGGAATACCTTGATGGTCATCATCAAACCTGCCATTTGACCGAACGCTCTGCCAGATTTACCCCTCAATAATTCCAAACTGTCACTGTTCTTCTTTTGGGGCATCAGAGATGACTATCGATGTTAGTTCAAGAGTCTACGAAGATCTTGGAAGGTAGGACGTACTCCTGTGGAGTAGGCATCAGCCAGACGAACGAAGCTAAATTCACCGGTACCATAGATAATAAGATCCTCAGCCCATCTTGATAAATGTGACATGAGAGTAGCACCCCATTGCATGGTCTCAACGACAAAATCACGGTCGCCGACTGCCGACATAGAATTCCACAGAAGACCTTCGAAACCAAGCTCCTCGGCCATTGCCTCACGATCGATGTTGAAAGGGTTACCAGCCAAAGCACCACATCCTAATGGCGATCGATTGACTCGCTTGATAACTTCTCGCAATCTTTGGAGATCAGTTGCAAAAGCCAAACCGTATGACAACATCCAGTGACTCCATCTGATGGGTTGAGCACGTTGCAAGTGAGTATATCCTGGCATGATATGTTCAATCTCGTTCTCTGATCTGGCAGCCACAACCTTCAAGTAATCGACTAAGAAGCTCTCAATCTTTTTGAGCTCATCCCTAAGCCACAATCGCATATCTGTTGCAACTTGCTCATTTCGACTTCTTCCAGTGTGTAATTTCCCTCCAATCTCTTTGCCAATAATTTCGCCTAGTCTTCTCTCATTTGCAGTATGAATATCCTCGTCCACACCAGGAATGATCTTGAACGTGCCAGCGACCCATTCTTCCTCGACTTGCTTCAATCCGGACTCAATTGCTGCGAATTCAGCTTCAGTCAAGATGCCATTCTTGTGGTTTGCACGAGCCCAAGCAATACTACCCCGAATATCCTGGGTATGGAATGCACGATCGTAGTAGATTGATTCGTTATAAGAGACCATGAGAGGATCAAGACCTCCTATTGAACTGTCAGTAAGAAATTGAGCTCAATCAAAGAGATATGAGTCAAACAAACCAGTAAATCGACCACCCCACAACATATTCTCTCCAGGTTTGCTACCTGGAGCTCTAACTTGTTCTGAAGCCATAATTTTATAAAACAGAATGTATTGACCACAAAATATAAGTAAATGCAATACAAGACCTTATCGTCGCTGTGAGTATTGGTTGCTTGACATAAAATCAAATATGGACGGGAATGCTAAGAAACTATTGATAATAGTATTGCGATAGCTAAAAATTTATTGAGGGGTGGTTCCTGATTGCATCGGAGGACGGTGCTACGTTAATCCTTGCTAGCGCCCGCCTTGTGAGAACTACGGTAAACGACAACTCATCAATTGCTGTTTCATATCAAATCCAAATCTCAACTCTCCACCGCTTTAATTCTACCACGTATCTACCGAGTACTGCTCCCAATACCCGAAGAGTTGATTTTGGAAGAGTATTGAAGAAGCACAAATTCACAAGGGCATTGATTGACATACTGCTTTTAAATATGGCTTCGTTTCCCAACATTTGGAATCATCGTAAGGTGGCCGACACCGCTTCTAAGCCTTGTGAGATTTGCTATAAACCTAGTGCAAGTGTTCTGATAACTCCAGAAAACAAGGTGGATATTGTCATTCTCTATTTTGAAGTGATCGCTTAACAACTCTTATTAGGACTTCTTTTATGTATGCCCATCCCATTTAAAGGATAAAGGATTTGCTACACCCATTGTAGATGAGGCTGCTATTGCTGCTAAGAAAAAGAAAGAGATGGACGACGAGATCGCACGTGTGAAGCAGGAGTTCGAAGAGAAGCAGAAGAGGAAGAAGGAGAAAGAAACTTCGAAGAAAGACGAGAAGGAAAAGGATAGTGAAGATAAAAAAGATGAAGGGAAAAAAGACGAGAAGAAGACTGATGAGAAGGTATGCATAACGCTTCGCCATTCTCCATCTTATACCTACTAATATTTCACTTGTATCTTTAGGAGAAGTCAGACACTCCTGTATCACCAGCACCAAGTCCAACAGCAGATGAAGAACCTAGAGTCTTTTCTTTAAAAAAGGCGTTCTATCAACAGAGACTGGATAAAAAGAGGCAGGCGGAAGTTGCAAAACGAAATCGTGAACGTCTCCAAAATCCGAATTTATTTCCACAAGTCCCTAAAGGCTTACCTTGAGCTGGGATAATCATCTCAAATGATCAGCGCTCCTACTTAAGTGGGAGAGATTCCAACAGAGCCATCATGGATTTATCAGTGTTCCTTGTGACGGTGGTGATTTTGCAAAGTCACTCAAAAACAGGAGATTCGGACCGTACTTGCCAAGAACATTCGTTCTTACATTCTCGAGTCAAGGAAGCGTCTTATTAGTCAGACATTCACCCTCGCGCAAACTTTACTCGTTCTTGATATACTGGCCGGGGAATGTAACACGCGAGTTTGATGGAGTCACTTAAAATGGTAAGGCCCGTTTCGTACACGTCATATAATTTACTACTAATGAGAGTTGCAGCATCGTATGTTCATGAGGTCCTTCTGCTGACTGCATATGATCGACCCGTTGGGAAGGTGGTCAATGCATCTAAGTTGGAGTTGAGTATGGATGAGTTGAAATTTACCGGGGCAGTCCTCCTTGTACTTACTATCCTGTATATAAAGCTTCATCAGGCTACTTCTCACGGCAGTCATCAGGCTAGACCGCGCGGTATCTTCCTTGCCAGGCAACCGAGTGAAAGAGCGGTGCCATCCCGCATTTATCTACCTCGTACAGAACGCCGTGAAGGTACATACGTGCTTACATGTTAGAAAGCTAACCCTGCTTATCTCAAGCCATTCTAAGCTTCTTTCACTTCCCTGCAATAGTTGTTTCCCATATCCACTATTCTCGCTTGAAAATTTATTGTTAGTGCTTATTTTCAGCCTTCAAAATCCTTAGGAGAAGCCACTTACCCCGGTACTCACTTTGCAATACCCTCCAGCTACTCACTTGGTTGTCACTTCGCTTCTCTTATCCATAAGCTCATCTAGTCTCAATTACCATATTGCATTGCTAAACCAATCAGTCTCGTGATTTCACTAGTCATAGGGCTTCAAAAATGTCATCCAGATCCAATTGAATGCTTATCATTTCCTCATGCTCATCGATCATGTCCTGTAGTCAGACGGCTGAATGAGCATCCGCCAGTATCCTTTACCCCGCATATCTAACGATGCAGTGCTACCCCGGTCATCTTTTCAATCAACGATGGCATCATTGGATAGATGCAGCAATGTCTTGCAGAGTTAAGACCACGCGACTTTGCTCTGCTGGTCATTGTACGTACAATTTATGTATGTATTTACTCGGTGAAACGTTCATTTCGGAAAGGCCACTGCGAACAGAAAGCCTTCCATAAATCTATCACATTTTCACGGCTGACTTGCATGCATATGAGCATTCTATTACACCTCAAATATCATGCTCGGTTCCTTTCTTCCTTCTCTGCCTGAGGTACGCCTGTGCATCCGTTTGTTATATCACACTCCACTCCGCTTACGGAGCCTAACATATCTGGTCTCATCCTGCATCGCTCAAGCTGAGTCATCCTTAACATCAATTCATCCTACTACCAGACTCCTTCCTTCACTACTGCATAGATGCCTTATTATATGAAATGTAAGCATAAACGGACCCGGCAACTTGGTTGAGGTTAGAACGTTATGTATACGTGAAGAGTGGAGCCAATAATCCTACGCCGTTACGATGTATTTAGGATTCTTTTCGCTGTATCTAACAATAAAGGAAGTACTGGGATGAATAAAAAGAGCGTGTGGTTTACTGGAGAGCGGGACAATGGTGTAAATGAGGCCAATCCTGGACGATTTGATCCATACAAAGGGGCGGGCCTATTAGTTCGGGAAGGAGGTTATACCACATTTTGTATAATGATATAATATGATATACTAAATGCTTTTTCAATTATCTGAAATAAGCTCCATCTACATTAGGAATAGATGAGGTCGCCCTCTCAAGGTCTCCATCCGTTTTAAACATCTAGACAGAAGTATATAGAGCATAACAAAAGTTTCCCAATTCCCATGACACACTTTACAAAGAATCCATTGATCCCTACACAGATTCACAATCTGCCAGATAAAGGATCTAGACCCATCTGTTCTGAACCGTCTTCCCGCTTACGTTTCAATTCTTTACCCACACCTGCACCTGCACCCACACCCACATCCATACCAGAAGTCCATTCCTTCATCACCCGCTCGATGCGCCTGCTATCCGCGCAAACACAACCCAGCATTACACAAACGGGGCCAGGCAATCCAATCCATCATCTCTCGGTTGTTCCACAAATACTACTTTGACATTTTTTGACACTGAAAATTTCGAAATCCGAACTTTCCGATTCCTTGCAATTGCCTAAACTTTTTCTACTTGTTTTTTTGGCTTCTGGTTTTTCGTTTTCAAATTTGAATGTCACATGTGCAGGATGAAGAATGTTTAGAACTAGGTATATCCTATATGCATATGCAGGCATTGATGCAGGTGGTAGCAGTGTATGTATCTCGTGAATAGTGTGTAATAGAACCAAGATGATAGGGCGGAATAAGCCAAACACATGGCCCTGCAATCTAGTCTTCTCAACTTCCTATTATATCACATCTTACAATTCCTGTCTAGTACCGTACGGTAACATGCCGCGGTTATGTCCATTCATACATATGTACATACATGCATACACGTTTTGTCACCTCGCCCTCGCGGCAGCATCAATCATTCCAGAACCAACCCCCATCCCCAGTCTACAAACTCCCCTTCTCCCTATCTAGCGTAGTTCCGCTTCCTCTCATCCCAGGAGGCAACCTAATACCCCCGCTCCCACCTTCCACCCTCTTTCCGAGCGTGACCTCATCACATCTTCCCTTTAACAAACTGAAAGCCGGGCAAACCCATACACCACAACTACATCGCATTCCCTGCCAAGCATACTTTCCAACTTGGGCTTTGCATTTTTGGTTTGGACATTCGAGTCTTCCGGATAAGTTTCCGAGTTCGAGTTCGGGACGCATCCAGGAGAGAGGGTGCAAGAAATGGTGAGTACAAGTGCTGTGGTGGGGAGTGGAAGCAAGGGAGGAGATGGGTGTTGTCTGAGGATTAACGAGGGAGGTGGGAGAAGATGTGAATTTTGAGGTGGGTGTGTGAGGTATCAGGTAAGGGGTTGTGACGAGGTTGCGGCTAGAGTATTGTTAGTTTAATGATTATGTTTCTCCGCTGCTTATTGATAACGACAATGTATGACAGAGAAATAAAAATGAGTGAAGAAAACGAAAAAGGAAAGCTTACCGACACATTCTACATCTGATCTCCTTTTCTTTACCGTCTGCCTTCTGTTTATCCTGCTCTTCTTCGTCCTCAAATCTTACCCAATCAGGTCGTCCTCCAGTGGCCACAGCCAACTCAACCTCTCTTTGATACAGCCATCTTTGATACTTAGGCTGATCATCTATGTTTCTCGGGCAGCCCATTTCGTGATATAACTGGAGCTGCGCCATAAATCCATCATTAGGCTCAGCGAAAGGTCGTGTTTGTTGAATTTGTGCAAGCGCAGTATGGGGAGTGAGTGAGGGATATTGACGGAGGAGGTAGGCGATTAAAATGGTTACAGAACGGGAGCGACCCATCGCGCTAATAGGTGTCAGTGTTTGACATATGTTATTCAAAGATAGGAACAAGGAGTCATGAGCAGAGAAACACCACTTGACTTCTCCTTTTGAAATTCAATACATGCTTCCGTGTCTACTACAATGATAGTAATGACTTTCGACTTTCAGAAAAAACAAAATAAAGTGTCCTAACTTACCAATGAACAAGCACAGCACTCTTCTTCTTCTCACTCTCATCACCTTCAAGCCTCCCATTACCCTTTAGAGCCTCTTCAATCCAAGCTCCTGTCGTCTCAAATTCACCCAGTAAATTCTCGTCCTCTACATCATCTACTTCGATCTGGAGGTGTTTGTACTTATTCCAATCGATATTGAAGTTCTTGAAATCGTACTTCAGAACACTGACAATATGTGTGATGTTGTTCTTTTGGAGAGAGTTCTCCGTCAACGAGACGATCCTATCTTATGTTAAATCTATCTTTCTCTTATATCATCCAAAGAACAGCAGACAATAGTCAGAGATCCTCCGCAACATTCGAGCAAAAGGTCGAAAAATCAAAGCAATATCACGTGCGCGGGGCAAACGCTCGAAAGTCAATGTACATACCCTCCAACATACAACTCATCCTCCCCTGATAATCTCGAAGGTTCTGTATTCATCTTAAGATTCTGTCTCAAATTCCGTACTTTCTGTATCTGTTCCTGTAACTGTCTGTCTTCCAGATTTGGCGAGTCTTCAATTGACGTTGATGTTGTCGTCGCCACCTTGATCGAGCAAACCCTGTGTAACCTCGAGATAGCAAGTCAAACAATCTCAAATCCTCGCTTATGACCAGCAATGTACTTGCAAAAAGGGGGGGAGCGTATTCAATTAAGATCAGGTGATAAGATATTATTGGTATGCAGTCCACACTCAAGGGTCTCTTTCTTCAAGCTTGTGTACGTTTAGAAAATTCCAAATTGTTCTTTTGCTCTTTCACCCCGCCTTACCGGTTAAATCTCGGAGTTCGGAACTACCGATCCTTCACTCGTAGAATTTGCCTTAGGCCAAACTTTAAAATCAGCCTTAAAAGTTTGAGAAACGCCATCGAATCAACATAAAGTTAAAATTTCTGCGCGGAGAAGTATTTTCCCTCACGAGATCTTGTCTTGTTCTGTGTTTCGGCAGTTTGATTACAGAGCGGCAGATGAAACATCCGGTGCGCAACATTCAGTATCATTTGTGCGCATACATGTAGTGGCAGTGTTACCATCTAGTATTTTACGTGAAGATAGTCAGGAGACGATTAACGAAATTGCATTTTGTAGATGAATCTGCACTGCACTGATGTCCATACGATGAGACTTTCGGAGTGACTCCTTCGGGGCTAAAAAGCACAAGCACGAGAATCTTCTCATCGGGCCGAGTCCGGGCTAAGAAATACTTACTTTTAGGGATTTTGGCCGCCTTGGAGATATCAATGCAAGGTGGACGAGATCAGATTGAGTTTTTCAGGGGTAAACTGGGGATGGATGTCGGGTATTATTAGGTTCATATCTCCGAAAACTACAAGGCTGTCATGATAAACGATGATTAGACTCATCAAACTTTGTAATTCATATCGGTGCTACTGATATCGGTGATAGTTCTCTGGTGAGAATCGAAGGAATGAGAATGTCGGCCGAAATGAACAAACAACAATATGTCTCGTTAGACGATCAATAACACAATGGAACGTTGCGCGATTTATTGTACCATTAGCCAACAGGCTGTAATATCTCCGAAGGTTGGAATTGTCTTAGATTTTGTTGATCACCAAACACGCAGAGATCTCAACATAAGACATAATCATGAGTAAGTAAATGATGTCCGGTTCAGAACACCCGACTCGAGGATGATCTAACTCACGTAGCACAAACATGGCATCAACCCCCGTTCGTCCGCCTACCGAAAGCCCTACCCGATATTATCCATATGCAACACATATTGTATCTACTCGAAATAACTAAGGCTGACCAGTCCAGCCAGTCCAACATAAACTCACATGTAGCCAAGAAATACCACCAGCATGTGCACACGCAATCAAATCATCCAAAAAAATCATGTCAATCCAGACTCCAGATCATCCCCGTACCGATAAACGGACGATTGGCGATGTGTGTCCCAAAAGCGGAAAAGTGTTGTGATACGACACCTCGTGTTTCGCTTCGACATCCCGCGTGTGTGCCAGAGATTCAGCCTTCTTTTTCGCCCTATGGGGCCGTACTTCACTTGAGCCTGGTACTGTGCTACGAGGCGCTAGAGGCGGGCGTTCATAAGGTTGGCCAAGGGATAAAAAGAAAACGGAAAATTTGTTACATGAGTATGGGTTTTGTGTAACATTTCTACCTATACAAATTGACTGAATGGAAAGATCTGGATGGCTTGGCATTTAGCTGAAAATTGAAAAATATATACTGTCCGTATTCGAGATTTAGGCATTTTCATCTCTTGCATGCAGGTCAATCAATGAAAGACGATACCAGAACATACAGTATATTAGATGTCCTTAAACGGCAATTATGTATCTTACGATACTGTATGATGGCCACCTTAGAACGTAATCTAGCCCCAACGCCAATGTCATCAGCGGCTGATCAGAACATGGGTTGCAATTTGCACCCATCTACCGAATGTTTTTCAGCCCTTTGTTCTAGATCTGGTAGAGACATCCACCTGTGGTCGATTCACCGCTTAGTTTGATACATGCTCACGGGACATTGCGATTTTGCAATTAAACGAATTGGCTGACGAATGTAAGTGTAGAAAACTAGGCAGATGTAAATCGGGGGCGTTTATGGGAAAGCTGGATATACATGTTTCTGTACATACTGTAGCCTTGTCCTGCTGGAAACGTTGGTTTGGGGGCAAGATCTAGTTTCTTGGATGCTTATTATATTGGTTCTTCTAAGATGAGATCTACTCGTACCCCTTCTCAATACTCAATTCACGAGAGTGATTGGTACAATGCAAGTTTTCGCCTCAATACCGGTGTGTGAAGATTCGTATGCCAAACAAGATTAATCAGATAACAGTCAGCTTTAGTCGTATCTTGGGATCCGTAATAGGTTGAAAGTAAATGAAGCTCTGAGAGAAAACAACAAGATTCGTCCCCGCAATATGAGATGGTGGCTGAGACTTTCGAGGCACTCTGCGTGAACTTTGAGCTTATCCACCTCCCTCTTACCTAAACCCAAATTTAGCAGATCTAGATTTCTGTCTATCTGTGATCAACATTTCACTTCTCTCGCCTGCCATTTCCCACTTCCACACACTCCCTTGCAACGCTGATCTGGTACACACCACTCAAGTTCAATCCCATCTTCATGATTCATCACAACATCGTGACATAGCCTCCCGCTCCCAAATAAACGGTTCAGGTTGCCGACTTTTGGAAACTTTCTGGTAGCCGATCAGTAAGTCGGGTACCCCACTTTTGGGCCACCCCCCATTTGAGCCACCTCAAAAAAGCTCACCACAAGAAGGAACCTCTCTTATTTATTCTTTAATAACTTCACAACACTTAAATCAATTGATTTGAAATTTTGATATATCATTATTTACATTATACTTAAAACATATACTAAAGTTAACATTAGTTCAACTTTATATACAATAATAAATGGGCATTCAATCCAACAAGCTGCTTTGGATTATAGGATTCCAAGGGTTACTCTTCAAAACCGTATAAATAGCCATCTATCTTATCAAAAAGGTGCACAATATATACAAAAGATAGCCCCGATCCAGGAAAAACGATTAGCAGATTAAATATTAGTCCAAGAATCCTTGGATATTAGTTCTATGCATCGCTAGATTCGTGAAATTGGAGAGCACCTCCTCAATATTAAGGGAAATAATTCTACACTTGGAAAGCAATAAGTTATAGGTTTTCTTCAAAGGAATCTAAAGATTAATATCAAAAAACAATTTAAGATCGATTCAGCATATATCAATAATATAATTATCAATATTATTAATCAATAATTTCCAAAGCTAGATTTACCCTCAATTCATTATATTAAGTTTCAAAATCGATACAATATAAACAAAGCAAGTATACAAAAAGGCCAAAAACTAAATAGACTAATCCTAGAAAACTCAGAATATCATTTTATTCAAAAAAAGCAGTCTAATTCTAAAGTTTGGATATTATTTATAGAGTATATCTCAATTATAGGAAAAGCTCTTAATTCCCTTATTATATTAAAGGGGAAATCAGTATAATAATAATAATTTCCAATTGATTTGAATCCCTATAAAGGATAGCACTTTACTGCTATAAAAAATAAATGGACTATAAACAATACTGCCTTAAAATGGCTTAAAAAGGTATTTATATTTCAAACAGCCCCTTTTTTATTGGATAAACTGAGATTCCTTATATTGAACAAATATAGAAGTCATGAAACTACTGAATTTATATATAAATGCTTTAAGAACAATATATACCTCTTATTCCTATTATTATATATATTATATATCCTACAACCTTTTGATTTGTTTATATTCTTATTTTTCAAAAGAGTATACAAATATTATCTCAATAAATTAGTCTCCTTATCGAATTCCGGAATATTTGAAAAGATTAATTTCCTTATATACTATCAGAAAACATAACTAAATAATTTAACAAAATATAATATATTATTTGAATAGAAAGCTTTAGATTTATAGCCTCTAAATTGTATTAAGCTTATTATATCAAGATTGTTGTTTGAAAATAGTAATAAGAAAATTATGAATTAGAAATTATATTCTGATAATAATTCTATATATTAATAAAATAGAGAATCCGCAATTTCAATTTTTAGAATGCTTCAAAAAGCTAGTGATTTAAGATCATATATTTATATATTGATTTAAAGCAAAGAAATTAATCTTTATACTCGTTATTAGCTTTTTAGAAAGATTATTAAGGGATTTGATGTTAAGGATTATAAACTTTTGTAATCTGGGTATCAAATAAAACAATTGAAGTATCAATTGATACAAATCGTTTCCAAGAAAAAGCGTAAGGTAAAAATTAATCCAAATTCGAAGTTTTCTAAAATTAAAGAAATTAGAAAAATGCAAATCGCAACAAAAGATCGTAAAATTGATATAGAAAATGCTAATAATAATAATAAAAGTATATCCTCAAGCATTTATTATAATACCAAATAGTTGTTAAATAATTAATATTTTACTACCATATAATATAAATTTTTAAGATAGCCTAAATGAAGAGTAGCCCAAAAGTGGGGTATCCGACTTAATGAAAGTAAGCATCTTGGCGACGCGATACGGTCACGCAGAGCCTCTACTCACTAAATGTTAGCAAAGCTTGGAGCATGGCAATGACTTCAATCAAGCTTGTTACTCGTCCCGCTCGAGGCTCGGTAATTATCCTCAATCCAGATGTATGGCTGTGATGTGATGTGATCACGTATTCCTGATCACTGTCACTGATTGCCAGGGGTTATTCGTTTTATTCACGTTTCTGGAACCTCGGGGCTAGTTAGAATAAGCCTTGTAGGGCTAGGAAGTACCCGACAATGGACTGACTGTATTAGGAAATCATCCCGGTGATTATATCAAAAATCGGCGTTGAGTTTCCTTGGTGATAGCAATGAGATCTAACAAATGGACGGCATGAGAG